AACGGTAAGAAGCGTAAACATAATTTTCAATAATCTCCTAGTTTGCTCCTCGCCTACTGTATCAAATAGTTCATATAAAACGGACGCGTTATGCTCTTTTAATTCGCTTTCTACTCGTGTGCGGGTAATTGTGTTTTCATCCGACGTTATTTCTTTCTCTCTCTTCGATATGTTGTAGGAAAACACATTACAATGTACTCATCTCGGATACACGCGCGTTTTTCGATTACATCTTGTGTTTTATCATTTTGCTGGAGAACTAACGTGTAATTTTCGTAAACAATACCGGCAGTAACAAGTTATCGCGTCGTACATCTCGTTACAATGTGGGTATGGTGCATAGATAACAGTGGTTTTTGTTGTCGTTGTACATTTGGTTAGTAGCCCGAGTTACAATTAAAACATTTCCCGGTTTACCGCGTAAAAAAAGAAATGAAATTCTTGACAAACTAAACGATTAAGTGTACTAAATGAAATTTTCCTCAATATAATAGACCTTCCGTGAAATGAGTAACGGCGGTCGAAATACTAGTACATATTTTCTATCTTATGTTATCTATGGTATTACGATTGTAAAAATTGTATTGAACTGAAAGTGTTTCCCATGTATAACGGGATCCCATTGAATTATTTACTTGGCCATCGCTATTCGGCCTGCCTTGACTGTCACCAAGACCATCTTCTCTTACCTAGTTAGCGAGCACGCATTCCAGCAGCATTCCATCGTCGATGTAACATACAGGCACCTATCGTGTTTTGCTGAAGCGTTTTACTCTAGTGATGCATAGCGCTGCATTGAGTTAAGATATGTGACCAGATATTTTTTTTTAAAGCGGGACAGGTATCACAAACCTTCCAATAGGCTGTCGGCTGAGAAAGCAGTGATGGGGAGATAGGATAAGAAGGAAGATCCTATGGGGTTACTGACGAGGAAAACCCAAGAACATAAAATACCTACAATAAAATCATAGAAATAATTATATACGATGTTGAAAATGTTTGCGTTTAATGAAAATATAAAAATATTGAGTATAGGGGAAAAATCCAAAATAGCGATTTTAGTGTCATAAAATTCGTTTTGACGTAGGTACTATGTTTTTCTTAGGTCAACAACCCTGCTCCATTCGTCAACTGTATCCAAATACGATGAAAGGCAGTACATTTTACCATGCCGACTCGACTTAAAAGTTTAGCGGGACACATAATATAAAATCGGTAGTGTCCCGTTCAAGTCAGGACGTCTGGTCACTCTAAGTCTATTTATATATATATATTTATGGGTAAAGACTTGTCGGAACGTATGACTAGTAGCAAAGCAATATCGTGTTGTTAAAAAATTATGTAAAAAGCACTGTCAAACTTGGCGTCGTTCAGGATTGATCCAGAAACACTATATGGCGGGGGAAAATGTTATGCCCATTTATGTATATTGAGTATACCTTTCGACATTGACCGAGTCTCATTGGCGTGAAATGCACCTCAAACGCCTTTGTACGAATGCATATTTAAACGTGTATTTACTCCCACGTGGTTATGTTATTATTGTTATGCGTTTGGTGCAAGGTTTTCCATCGTTTATTTATGTATCGTGTGTTTATTTATGAACAGTGTAATCCGTAACACAGTACATGTTTGCCGTATTGCTGTGTTTATTTGATATTTTACGTAATCGGCCTTAGTCATACGACCGCGGATTGTGAATTAAACTGTCAAATATTTATGGTGGATTCATAATGCTATATTATAATATTAACTACGTGTAATAATTCATAAGGAAAGGACAACAGTGACGCAACGGAAAACGCGTAAATTATGTACGCGCAATTTCATTATAATTGGTTGCCCGCTCGGGTCAGATTTCAACGTTTGCAAAATAGTTTTGACGGTATCCGTTGATACATATTTTTTTATTGAAATTTGCTCCTTTCCCTATAGACAGTCAATGACCATGTATGCGGTACCACTGGCGTGTTAACCTTGGTCGATTCTATAAAAATACATAATTCTATTAGAGGGTAATCCACTTTGATCCCATCATTCACAGACATTTGAAAGCCAAAGCTTCTCTTAGTCGTATAATTATTTTTCAAGTCATTCCAAGTACATTAATATATATATATATATATATTCGTCGTAATGTTGATTTTAACATTTTTTTTTATAATTTACACCGATTAAAATTAATACGTGGCGGAAGATTTCAAATGATTAATCATTTTAAAACTTGAAATATTTGAACAGTGACAAGCAAAACTATTTAGTCAATCGTTCAAACTTCGTCCGTTATTTTTGCACGTGGTGATTTTTGGCAACGATTTTTTGTCATTATCTTTGATCCAACAGCTTTGATCGGAGCGGGACATCAGTCGTAGGCTTATTTGGCCATACGCCTGTAGGCTGTATGTAATGTTTGAACAATATTATTATTAAAAAAAATAGAAAAGCAAAAAAAAATGTGACACGAGGCTGTCCCTTGTCCTTGGCGTGGCTTATGCGACGTTGCCTATTTCCCATCACACGGACCGAAACCGATTAATAATTTCAAACGTTCTGTGAGATTTCCTTTATGTTGTTCGCTCGATTAAATTATTTAAAAAACCCACAAATATCTCCCTTTGATTTTTGCAAGCACTATATAACGTAGTTTGTTTATCATAAGACGGTCAAACATTATATTTTGTCCGGCTACCGACTGGAAGGTTTTTTTATTTTTTGTTCCTATAGATCTCGCATTAAATAAATCCATTAATTTAAAAGCTGGGCGTCGACGTGTCCAACCACGGCCAATTACGTTCAATTTGCCGGCATTGAATTCTCTCTAGCCTCGGTTGCCGCCCCACCGTCGCATTCCAACCCTACCCTAAATCTATATAGAAAGCTAATAGGCATTTTCCGATTTATTCCATCGTTTTTGCTTTTTGGCAATCCTTCCTGTACGATGTTATAATGTTTAACACTACAAAAGCAAAACTAGGGTCCATCTATTTTTATTATTTCATTAAAAAAAACAGTTTTTCTTTCTAGAACGCACCGTGAGCCTGCGAGCAGTCGTGTCCCACTTATGATTAAACGGTCACGCGTGAACATACCGTCAATTCCTGTTCACGTACATGCATATTTATATATTATATATAGTATTAAAATACTGTAACATACAGTAATACATTTGTCGGGTTTATAGTATTTGTAATTTCATATGGTATTGTATAATCATTATTCATTATTAATCACAAGTCTCAACTCAATCGGCTTGTCTGACTGGATTTTTTTTTTTTAATATGAAACTCATAAAAATCATCTTGGTGTAAAAATTTGCATATCTTGATATAATACATACATACTTTCATGTTTCTGGTTTCATTGTAAATTGTAACTTGTAGTTGCACAATATGTTTCAATATACTAAATTTAACCGCGCTCGTCTAAAATATTTTGACAGAATGTATTTTTTTAGAGATAAAATCTACAAATAATTTCGATACGCTTTTTTTATACTATCGTTTGCTAAAACGATCTGGGTCATACACCCTCCCCCCTCCCCGCTGGTGTCTCATGTAGATGTTATAATATGTCTACACTTAGTCGCGGATTTTTGTTCTCATGATCTGAAAACTAGTCTGAATATTATTTAAATACATATATATATGTATTTTTTATTAAAATGTATATGTAGAGGTATATATATTACATTATAATGTTATATTCGGTATGGTTAAACTCGGCGTCTCGTTTTTATATTTGAAATGCGGCCGTCGCTTTACGTTTCCTGCGTCTTCATCGAATATTTATAGGTTAAGATAATATGCAACTTTCACGGCCGCTGTCGTTTTTTTCGGGGGTCTCCGTCTAAATACCGGTTTTTTTCATTATTTTTTTTTATTATGTTAACTATAGACATTATGTTATAGGTGCTATAGAACGGAGTAGGGCGCAAACGGCCGTAATAAAATGTGGGCACGCATATTGTGTGTATTGCGAAACCAGTTAATTAAATTGTATTTATGACGCTTTTCCGGAGAAGGCCGAAAGATAGCCTCGGAAAATTCTTTTAACCCGTCATGGAACCATAATAAATATATTATTGTGTATAATGTAAAACTGTGATTCGGAGCACAACTCGAATTGGGTCGGTACGATGTATATTATGTGTGCGTGTGCGCTTCACCTAGCGGTGTTCTCGAAATCATTCTGCACCGCGAAATTTGCAGACGGGTTTACTGTAAGCCCATTATGTGCATTGTTATTGCTACCATTATATTGTTATGAGCACCGGAACAAGTGGTGTAAAACGCGCACCGTTGTGTTGTTGGCGGCGCAGACTCTAATACCCGCCGAGGGATCGTCGTCTGACTCTTCAGAGTTTCGTATAAAAAAAAATATTTATATATAAAAATAAAATATAAAAAAAATAGGAGAAAAAATACTCTTGGTGTCGATACGCGATTGGTTCTGGTCCATGTGAATACACGCGCAGACGACGGCGGCTAATAACGCGTGAAATACTGAAAACCGGAGTTTGTTGTACCGAAGAGCAGCGGGCGGCGATGGCGGTGTAGTTGAACGAGCCATAACGCAATGTATATTTTTGTTATTACAATTTAAAAATAATACTGAAAGGTGCACGACCGGCAATTAATGTCATCGATAGTCCAAAAAAATTGGCTACTAGGCGGTCGTTCGCAAGAGACGACCGAATTTCAAGTATGTTCCTGCACTTGATCTAAGCTTCTTAAGTTAACCGGCGCGTGATGCAAAACTATTGTGTACTTAGAACCGCCAATGCATTAGCCACAGCGGTACATGATTTACGTTTGAAAACTAACAAAGTAACACAAATATATTATTATGTAAAATGCTTGTGCCAAAAATTCTATAGTTTCACAGGACGTGCAATTAACGACTGCGTACTTTGTATAGGGTTTCACATAAATATAAGTGTGTATACGTCTTCCAAGTGAAACGCAATGCTATAACGTATTGTTTTTTTTGTTTATTTCTAGACTTTGAGGGGCCTCGAGCCCCCGTGGGATGGACTGCCGTGGCGACGAGCTCATCCAACACAATAACCGAGCGTCCGCCGTACAAGCCGTGCCCTTTCAATACCTCATCAACGAACAAGCAAAGTCTATCCTCGCTCTACAGGTCGGTGTAATGCATATTATTTTTTTGTCGTTTCCTCTAGTGTTGGTTTAGACGATGCATTACACATTGCGTGTTATGTAATCAGTAATAATTATCAACTCATTCGTTGCCACTGTTAGATTGCATTGAAGGTCTGAGAATGTGTTTATTACATCTCTTATCATCCATTATTCTTATTACAGTTTGCGTGAATGTGTATATGTATATACATAAATTATGTATTATAATGACCTATTCGACCGATATTTAACATGTGATCTAACTCACATAGCCTTAATTAAGTGTTTTAAATAAAAATTTCGTCACTCGTATGTGTTGATTGAACTTAATAGTTTTATAATTCACACATGTCTCTCTTGCTTGATATATTTTACACAAAAGTAGTTTATTACTTTACAAGTTAGATAATTTGTATTACCTTACACACAAGTGTTACGATTGTGTATGATAACACAAGGCTCAGAACCATAAAATTATGTTGGCGAGAAAAAATACTTTTAACAAACTGTGTTAAAATATTTTTAAAACAATTTTTTTTTTTTATAATAATTACACAGTATATCGAAACATAACAATATACGTCACATTATGTGAAATAAAAGTAGGTACTACTCAAGTACACGAATGCAAGTTTATCTAGAAAACGTATTATAATCACCAGTATAAATATGTACACATCACAGGTATTTATCTAAATATGAATTCTAACTTTTACTAAACTTTAGTATTTTTCATAGAAATTATAATTTTTATTTCTTACTTAGCGTTTTTTTTTAAATAATCAATTAATTCGTAGAATATGATAATTTCACTTTTTGGAGAAAATCACAGAATAACACTCCAGAAATGTTTGTACTAAAATAATTTAAGAGAAATAAATTTACTGAATAATGATGTCTAAAAAAAAAATATCAATAATGGCTATGCAAAAATAATATAATTTTGATACAACTAATTAGTTAATGGTCTTTGGACACGATAAGAAGAAGAAGTTAATGGTCTTACAATATTGTAAGTAGTTATTATATCATGTACAAGTTTTGTAAACTATATGTGACAAAACTAATTAAGTTAGTATTATGAATAAAAATTAATATAACTATAAAATATAGAAACTAAATATTAAACAACCCATTAATATGATTTATTAATATATGTACCTTAAAATACCATAAACCATTTACAGTTTGTATTTTTAAAGTGCAAAATACTTTCTAAAACAGTATTTTACTGTCGTACAGTCTATACAAATAAACTATCGTCACTATAAATCAACTAAACATTATAATGTAAAAGTAACGATAGCATAATTGAATACTAATGGATTATAGTGAAAATAGCAGTCAACATTTAAATTGGTTCTAAATAAAATATTTACAACATTGCTATCGTATACTCTAAGAGAATTATTTTTGTACTCAAGAGTTTATTTAAATATTTTATTATTTTTAGATTTTAATCCAAAAACCTGCGCCTAAAAGATTAATAAAAAAAAGGTCCACCATTTCTAGGGGTAAATTTAATAGTTTCTTACTCTAAATTAGTTAATTAGTTGAGCTGTATCCGAGAAATAGGTACTACAAAAAAGTAAGCTTATTTTAACCATTGTTCGGAAAGTTATAGCCGTGTCTTTAGTGTATGTGTAAATGGAAACAAACAACTATTATTATTTCTCTTGAGATTATGCGATCATAAAAATTGAAAAACTACTTTGTAATAATTAGAGTTAGATAAAAGTATAATAGATATTTTCGGTCGTTTTAATTAAAGTTTTTATTCTAGTGTTAGTATTAGTTGTGTCTGCGCTATAAGGTGGTACATGAAATTTCCTATAGTTCATATCAGCTTATATTATACAGGAAATAAGTGTATTTAAATACTCATGAGTTATATATATTTATATAGAAAGTACAATGTGTATAATTATACAAAGGTAAAATTACCTCACTTGGGATTCATATTCTGATATTCATATACAACTAAGCCCATAAATTGATTTTAAAATTATGTAAATTGTTAAGCGTGTTTCGATTGTTATTATAGGAATATATAATATTGAATAATTAATGTGTAGCCTAAAATGCCAATGCTAAATACCTCTTTTCAATTGTCATATTATTTGACGATCTTATGAAAAATAGAATAAAACTTTTACTTAATAAGGGATTATAAATTTTCGGTTATGTTTTTCAGGAATTGCAGAATGAGGTCGGTGCGTTGTTGGAGTTTAGGGACCTTGTCATGGACACGTTCCCGCACTTGCGCCAAAAACAGCTATCCAGTCCTGAACCAAGTTCTGGATCGCAGGGCGTCGGTTCCGGGGAGAGCCGGTGGGAGCCCGGGGTGCGTGTTCGGCGGAAGTTGGGATCGGCGTCTTCACAGTCTTCGGGTTGGATTGCGGGAGGAGGACTGTCGACGGCGCCTCGGAGTAGAAGCAACAGTCACGGAAAGGGACCGAAGAGCGGCGAACCGGCCACTACCACGTCGGTGGGCACCGTGCAGGACAGTGGTTTCTGTACGGAGAGCAAGGACAGCAGTTCGACTAGTTCGAGGAAAAACAAAGACGAGGACGAACTATGGAGTCTGCTGGAGGTGATCCAGGACAAGGGCACTAAGTTGAAGCTGGAGGTTGAGTTCCTGCAAAACAGGTTGAGCAAGTCTTCCAGTAAAAACGACCTCCGGCAGAGACGATGCAAGAGCTTGGAGGACCTCGGCCACGAACAGCAGACGACTCCGGCGTTCGTGGACGATTACAACGTGTTCCGCGCTCACGTGACCAACTTGAAACAGGAGCGCGATTCGCTGTTGGATAGAGTTACCGAAATGGAGGCGGAGAGTTTGTCAAATGCAGCGCAAATCCACCGGCTTCTCGCCGAGCTCAAGGCTGTGGTGTGTGAGAATAAAGAACTCGAAGAAAGACTGTGTGGTGGTGGCAAACAGTCAAAACTCGTGAGAAATTCTAGTCATAACGGTTTCGCCCCTGTCCAGCCCGAATCCACTGACCCAAGCTCATCGGGCACTCGGGAAGCCTACTACACCCTTAGCCAACATTCGGCCAACCTATCGTCCATCGAGTTGTGCAAGCAATGTTCGTATGAGACGGACGACCGTTCCAGACAACTGGTGGAAATGGTCCGACCTTCGGACCCGATATCCAGGAATCTAGACGGCCGGGGTACGCCCATACAGGAAGCCGGGAGCTCTCCGACTTTCGCCAAACGGCTGGGAATTCTAGACGGCATTGTTAGCAGCCCCGGAGATGTACTCAACAGATCGGCTGGTGGCACGCCATTGCCGAAACAAACTCTGGCTACCATTTTGAAAACGTTCAACCCCATTGAGCTGCAGCGACATCTCATCACTGTATCTTATGAAAATAAAGTAAGTCGGTTATATATTTTTAGCTTCGATGCGGAGCTTAGAAGGTATTGTTTATCTCCTGAGCCACTGAACCGATTTCATCATGTAACGGTTTATAGATCGACGAATCGTCCCTAAAAGATACTTTATTAGGCCAACAGTTTAAAAAGTTTACTTCTTACCCTTTGAAATCGAAAAAAAAACCCAAAAAGTCTTTTTCCAAATATGTATGGGATAATCTTTAGAATTGTACTATCGATTTACAGTAAAAATCCAAGAAAATATCATTAACCCTTTCCTCCAGAAGGGTAGGAACTTTCCTTTAATATCGCTATTTACTTAGTATATTTAGTAATACTAAATAACTGAATAATGACTTACTCGTTTTAACTTTAATAAGCTTAATAACCTAACTTTAATTAAAAATATCTTGTTTAGTATTATTAACTTGATATATTGAGATTGTGTTTTCACTATTAAAGCTTATCTAATACTACCAAAATTCGCTATTCAGAAATCTCAAGCTTATTTTTTTATGCTATTTCGTCTGATAAAATACAATAAATAATGGTAATGGTAGTATCAAATCGATAAATAAACTAATTTATTTGTTTTTTCAAAAGTCATAAATCAAGTGATGACACACTACCCTCTAATGCATACCTCTTTTTTTACTCGTGGTACGTATGGAATAAACTAAAAGCTTTTAATATAGTAGCCATATAGTAATGGTAATAGTAATTACTTCACAATTGTGTAACATGTAGTGAAGATGACTGCATTCGAAAGTTAAAAGACTGTTCGGTAACATAAAACAATCGCCCACCGGTTTTAAATAGCCCCTTTAGAATTACAAATAATACTACGGATATCCTACGAATTTTCATTTTTGAACCCACATTGACATATTTACATTTAAGTTCATCACAAGTTGACCATATGCGTTTACTGAGTGGCGAGTGCCCACACGATTTTAATTTATTATACCAATCCTATGTATTGTATGTGCAAGGGTCTTCATTGTTTCGCCTTTATTTCTTTAGTTTTTGTAGGCGGGCCATATTGCTGTTTTAATATTTTATCTTTAAACACACCGAATGATTATGCACTTTTCAAGGATATAGTCGCTGTGTATGTTTATAAAACCGTATGTACCTACCGGCTGTGTGATGTTTTAGAAAATAACATATGCGTGACCAATATCAGCTATTAACATTATTGTATTATTCAATACGGTTAAAGTACATTAAGATCATTTTCATTTTGTGGTTATTTAATCAGAGTTGATACTTTATATGGCGATTTCTACTCGCAGTTATCCGTGAATGCATCTCGATTGTGTAAATGTGACGAGACTGTATCGTGGCGTTATTAAATACACCGGACCCGAACTAAACATCATAGATGTGCACTTATTTTTATTTGGAATCCGAGCCAATTAGAAACACAATCATGGTCATCTGGGACACGGTGTTGGGGATTCGCTGGCCTGTAATAATAATTATTTACGAGTGACCTCAGCGCGCGATATCTTGTTTTTTCGTAATTCGATTATTTCATGTTACTCACACATCTTCGGGCAAGGTGGAGACGCAACAACGCCCTTCTGCTAGGATTAACACTTGACGTAAACAAATAGAAAATAATACATGTAGCTATAACGCTTTACGGTTAATAATTGTAATCAGGTCCGGGTTCTCTAACCATCGGCGAATTATATTTATGGGGCTTCAACGACATTGGCTATTGTAGGTTTCGCGATGACGTATACGGTTGATCATGATCTGATCTGCTGGTAAAATTAAACTTGCTGCATTTATCTTCAAGGTAACACATTAGGATCTCTTGAATAACCGAATAAGTATAGCGGCGTGTACTATCAACGATATTTTTCTAGGTACCATCCACTTAATTCAACATCACAGCTCTGTTGGGTTAGGTTAGATTCTTCAATATCTATTATATCGTTAATGTTAACAACATTTATCTCCAACTTCCCCCGCCCTCACATACACCTCCATATTATGTATTTTAACGTCAAACAACTGTCCCAATAATAACTTCTTCACACTTCCATTGAACTGAATCGTTTTAAAATTAAGTCAGTGGTGCAAAGATATATACATTTTTTAAATTAAATATTATTGGATATTATAATCCACTTTATTGAACGAATTTTAACTGTGATATTTTAACTGTTTCTTGCAGAATTTAATGCGTCAAATCGAATCCCTTAGCAAATCCAAAGATGATTTTTCTATCGAATTGCACAAAAGCAAAGAGGATAATGAAGAACTGAAATTCCAAGTGAGTAGAGTATTTACGTTAGCTCGTAAGTTAAATTCTACGCCATTTTTTCTTTATTTATTTTTTATTAGTTGGAAGAAAAGAGAATAGAACTCGAAGGTACCATGGCCCGAGTGCGGCTGCTGCAGCTGCACCAAGAACAGCAGCAGCACTCGTCTCCTCGGAACACCGTCGTCCAATCGTCTTCGCCGTCCAATAACATCAGTACCACCATGACCAACGGTACCACGGCCGCCGCCGCCGCAAACGCCGCGCACAAGAGTCAGTGGTTGGATTTGGTGCCGTCGAACCCGATACTACCTCAATTGGCGCTGCCCGCCACCCCTCCGATGCACCAGAACCATCATCAACAGAATCACCATGCACAGACCATCAACAACCACCATCAGCAACACCAAGAGGAGAACAATAGCAGCACCGAATCGGCGCACCAGGCGCGCAGCAAACAGCCCAGCAAAATACCGGTAAAGGCGTTCTCCGCTCCCCGTCCGCCGTCTTCGTACCGTGAGCCCCGCGACCCTTACCCGTCGTGGAACAAGTGCAAGTCGGACCAGTCGTTACCCCGTAACTGGGATTCCATTAAAACGCCTAACGGACGGTCGACGGGTGACATGCACCAGACGTCCATCGGCAGCGGCAAGTACCACCGCCGACAGGATTCCTTGCAGGACAGCAGAAGGGGCCGACGGGATTCTAGTGGCGGCGGAGGCGGCGGCGGCAATGGTTTGGCCCGCACGAAATCTCAACAGCGGTCAAACTCTGTAAAAGATAAAGTCACCACTGTCGGGTCTCAGGCGGCCGACGATACCAAGGTACGGCCCAGCAAGAGGTTCGCCAACATACTTAACAGTTGGATACGGAAATCCTAAATCATACGTGGAAGGCTTTTATATCATGTGTCTTGACGACATTTACACGCACATTATAAATAGAAAAAAAAAATATATATATTTATACATATATTATGCCACACTACCACACCATCACCCAAAAAAAAAATATATATATTTATTTACAAAAATAAAAATTACCAAACAAATTAGCTTTTCAACGTTCGCTTGTTTGCTTCTTTGGAGTATAAAAGTATAAAATGTCCCCAAAACACACACGCAACGCGACTCAAGTCGACCGAAACCCGTAAGTCTGATATCATTTGTATTGTTTATAAAAATGTTAATTTAATCAAAGTTTCAAAACTTAATAATATTTACCTTCTTTCCCTTTATTGTAGAGTTATGGCTTGTTGCATGATACTCCTCAACCCCTGAACTTACTTTCTAAAATACCTAAAAAATATTTACAACCAAAAACATTCGTCGCTTGACTTTAAATAATAATAATTTACTCGATAAAAAATTTGTTACGCATTTTTCAAAACTTTAGCGTTATTGTCGGTAACATTTTTCCTGATTTTGGTTTTATTGTGTTTTTCATTGTACGCCTGACCTTGTGTGGGCTGCAGTATTTTTTAGATCACCAAGCTTTTCAAATTTTAATTTTTTTGTTGTCCACGTCCGGCGTTAGTCTAATCTCGCTGAAAATGATCATGATGCGCCACGGTCCGTTACATCTATCTATCTAAACGTCTGGTTAGCGATAAACGAAGGGAGAGCTTCAAGGCCCCTCGTCGTCACATCCGAGCTGTATAATTATAATTTATTTGTTCTGTTTCGTTATAATAATTATTATTGTTATTTTGAATGTCGAATCAAGGTCGAAGCCAGAACCCACACGTATGTATACAACACCACATAATACAACGACCACAGCGTCTGCATATTATTTTTGTTTTTTATTTATTTTTTACACAATGTATCTAATTCATCGTTGTTCCCCGCCCCCTCGCCCTACGTAATTGTCACCTACAGCGTTTCGGCTCATCATCATCATCATCTCAATGTGTATACACATCACACCGTATCACACACAGACATCACACACGCACACAATCATAATATATTTTATGAAGCTTTGTATTCAGTTCAAACCGCTTTTGTATATATTATTATATTATAAATACTTGCATGGTCTATCGATTGCCTCTCGTCGATTAATTGTGTTGCTTTTTTTTTTTATATAAGTATTGTATTTTATCTCGACGCGGGTCACGGATCTTTCGCTCTTCGCGTTATCTCTGGATTTTTTTTTTCAGCGCTTATCTCAGTTTTCTTAATTAAGCTCCGCATACAGTCTAACGCACCGCGGTGTGTGTGTGTGTGTGCTAAAAGTATCGAATAATAGTTAGCAAAACAAACGCGCATTGTATTGTTTTCTTCCGGCTAAAACCAACGTTTCTGTACAGTCTGTGGCGGCCATCTGGCGAAAACTGTGATATAATCATTTTGTCGATGAGAAAAAGTCGTTTTCGATTTTCTTTAATTATTATCGTCCTCGTTGTGATAATGATGATGGACTCGGGAGGAGAGGAAACATAGGTCATGGTAACGCCACCGTCGGTTTTATACTTGCTGTCGTTCTTTATTGTTAAATTTTTGTTCACTTTTTCCGGACCGATCGACCGGAAATCAAAACTGTCGCTTTCGTACAACCGCAAATACTACTATTGTTATTACTATACTGTACAATATACTTTTAACCGTTTTACTTATTGAACTCATCAACGTTATTTTACCCGTAATAGCCGTCGTCGACCGGCCGGGGCGGGCTTTAGAAACTATTTTTTTTTTGTTATAAAACGTAATGCGATGGTTTTATTACTGACGGGCTGCCGTATAAGCATAATGACATTTTGTGAGCTGGTCCGGATAAACCCGTATTGGTTCGGGAAAGCACCGAGCGAAAGCTGCAATCGAAGATTATATTGTAAAACCGATTTAAATGTACCGAGTTATTATTATATTTTCTAACCGGTAAATCGTAAATGGTTTGCCGTACGAGTTGGTCGGCAGACTTGTGTAATAATATCGGGGAAAACATAACTCATCGACAAGCTTAAGAATTAATCAGAGGGTTGAAAAAACAAGCATCAACTTTTGTATAATGTTTTTTGTTTGACATATATAAAACCAAGTTTAATGCTTTATGTAGTGCTTAATCGAAGGTTTTTTTTAATTAAGCAAAATGCCGTACTCTAAAAGTGTATGTATGAATTTAGGGGTAAAAAGTATGGATTCCAATAGAAAATTCTTCGATCAAAGACTAGTTTTTCATTGCTAGAATATGCTGTATACATTTCATTGAAACCCGTCAAAGTTGTTCGAAAGAAGTGTTTTAAAGTACCCCTAACCCCTTGAGTCACCTAAGATAACTGCGGGAGTTGTCGGTGGACGAGCAACCGTGGGACAACGGCACTGACGGCTGTTCGTTTTAGTTCCAAATTGTCCATAGACTTAAGCGCTGGCCGAGGCTGCGTAACGCCTGTATAAGATCTGTGGGTTTCCCAACAGCGTGGTTTCGTCATTTTGCGGAATGTAAAAATTGATTTTTCCCGCATACACATTTTTCGTCGCACTAGCTGTCACGCGAAAACCCGTACATGCATGCCACACGAGTATTGTCCGCCGAGTACATTGTGTTAGACACCTTGTCGCCGGCTTGTGCGGTAGATTTCACCGTGACGTTGTCGTTCGTACACCTCTGTCGTCAATCTAACCCGAGAAAAAGACGAGATCGGTGCGATTTTCGGACAACGCGAAGACACGCGGGAGGTTATCATAACACAAAATAGATTGACATAATAATGATAAAAACATGTTTCGAATTTTCACCGATTAGTACAGGCAGGCCGCTTTCGGATTGCGAAACCCTCGTGTTTAACAGACCATATTATATTATTATATATTATTATTATTATTATTATTATTATTATTATATTGTTGTTAAAGCACACGCACGGTCGCTCGCGCACAATGCCCGTAGAGTGTAACGTGTGTGCGTATAATATATTTTTATTAACCTTGCAGTAGTAGTTGTTGTATATTGTTGTTGTACAGCAGCTCTCTGATGGACGATGTTACGGCGACGGATACTGTGGACATTGTGAAATCGCTGTTTTTCCCCAATTATTTTCAACGATTCTACTTTGATTTCGATCGTCCGTTTTCTGGATTAACGTTTTTTTTCGTTTAAAAAGGTTGTTTATTTTACTATATTTTCGAACTACATTGCCGCCCCCTGTTGGTACCTACCTTCTGTTTGACTATATTTTTCTAATTATTTGGGGCGGGGGTTTACCGGGAGTGACGTTTTATGAATGACACCGACCGGTACAGGATTTGTGACGAATAGACGACTTAAAAAAAAATATATATATATAATATTATATTATAGTAATAATTTTATCCGACCGTGTTCTGCTTGTATAATAAACCGGTAATTGATAACGGTAAACCTCTTCGCGTTGTCGGATTCAACGCGATAATGGAATATCGATTTACGATCCTAACGTTTTTTTTCCAGTCACAAATGTCCGTTCAAGATTTCAGCACCGTTAGTTTTACAAAAAAAATGGGCGAAAGTTTGAAAGCAAATTTTTTTGTATTCTATAAATAGAAGAACCGGGCAAAAAAAACTGGCAGGTCAACTGCTTTTAATTAAAACGATTAAGGCAAAAGAATAGTCTTGATTTCTCTTTAACACCCCCCTCCCTTCGGAAGGGGCCCTTCTCTAACTGAAATATTGAGAAAATTCGATAAAAACAAAACGCATCCTTTTCATATCATTCAATATACCTAACTAATGATATTTTGAGCTAAAATAATCGTAATTTAATTATTCGTTAATAGCTTATATTCGTTATGAGCTTTTCTTTGATCGAAATTAGAAATAATCACATCTCTTGTGGATATGTTGAGTTTGAAAAAAATACGGGGTGTACTTTTTGAAAGATACAAGAAGCTATTTTTTTTTATTGTAGGTAACCTACCTGTTGTAATCTAACTAGGATTACATGAATTCATTTTTTTGATGGCCGTGGCGCAAAACATAATATTATATTTACTTATATAGTTTTTTATTTCGGGCACCAGACATTCGGTTTTCGTCCATAGGTGGGTAGATGGTTTCATTAACGTTGCTAAGCACTGCAAACTATACTTGTCTGCTACTATACTGCACTGGTACATAAGTAATTAAATTGAATTACACTGGTAATCGAGAAACGATAACGATCTTAACCGTAACCGCATGCGCTCAACACCCGTGACTGCCCCTATAACTTTCTACGCACACTGATTGTATTTAATAATAATTCTTATTACATATTGCCCTAACACCGCAGTCATTATGCATGTAACAACCTAAATTATCATACAGCACGGTTGTTTTTCTGATGTATTTTTTTCAGATACGTCGTTAACGGTAGCGCCGAAGTCTTTTACTCTTCAACAACCAAAGCTGCTTTAACTTAATATACAAAAAAATATGTTATTGTTGTTTGGTAACGTGTAGCGTTATTTAAAATGGAAACGTTATGATGTTGTAAATGAGCCTTTGGTCAAAAAATGGCATGGACTTCTGCGCTACTGCTTGTTGCCAATAACGAAATTGACCGTAACGATGATGATAATTAATATTGTTTTGCTATTTGTTTTTGTTTTTCGATAACGCAGAAAAAAAATCAACCGCTGTTCAGACGTCGCAACCTGATCCGACAGAACAGGATACTGGAGAAGACGCCTGTCCTGTTGCCGGCCCTGGACGAGGTCCAAGAGCCGCCAGAATCGTTGACCGACAACGGCAGCGTCGAGTTCTTCGACAGTATCGAGAGCAGCCTGGCCACCAGCGCCAGCTCTAGAAGACAACAGCCGCTGGACTGTGATTCCATCGATCTGTCCCAGCCCGACTCGTCGGTCACCTGATCCGATCGACCGACCGCCCGCCCGCCCGCCGTGCCACTTAATTTTGATAAATTATAATTTGATGTAAAAATAATATGACGACGATTGCCATAGCGCTAGCCGGATAAACTTTGTTTCCCTTATGAAAAAAAAAAAAGAATATGTTTGCCATATCTTTGTTGTCTCGCTCATGTTCTCTCCCCTCATACACCCATCATATTATATTTGTTTCCTCAATATTATTCGTTTATCAAGGTGCTCATCCACGGTGTTTAATCGAGGTTCTACTTGTTTGTTTTTTTTTTATACATTTTATTTTCATTGAACGATACATTATTGTATTAATTACTAATTTACTACTACATATTTATAAATATACTTGGATACGACACATTCCACATGAATTTTGATTTCATTGTAATTTTTTCTCTATTTAAATTTAGACTGATTATTGTTTAGTAAGCGCATACAATTAATAATGATAATAATATTATTTTTTATATACGATTAATTGTGATTCGTTGCTCGTCCTTATCTTTCCAATTGCGTTCCGTTTTTCATTTTTTTAATTTTTCATACGATTGTTTGCAATTTCAAATTCGTTGGTTTGTCTCGGTACACAAACTTTAAACGATTTTTGAACAAATAAATAATTTCCGGGGGGGGGGGGTGTGAACGTGATTATATATATTATTATATAAATATATTTATATTATTCAAATTAGATATAAATTTATTTTTCACTCTGAACAACGTTGTTTGTGTAACCTGAGAATGAAAATGAAAACAAAGCTCACTGATTACTAATTTTTATAACGTTTAAGTGTCACATTTTATTTTTTAAGATATTATATTATGTATTATTATTATTGCATTAAGATGATAAATTATTATTATTGTAATTTTTGTAACCATAGAACATTATTTTTTAAGAAAAAAAAACATTTATGTAATACATTATATTATTGTTATTTGTACCTATATTTATATATCTATATATGTTATTAACGTCGTAAATGTTTGTGTAGCGTTATTTAATAGTACATATTTTTTGTGTGAATTGCAAATATATACGTTAATATCTATATAAATATACATACGTGTATATAAATTACATGATTATATAGTATATAATAATTATGTACTATATATAATAATTGAAGAACTATACAATAAACTCGTGATCTTAGTCAATAGTGTTGATGTATATTATTTATTTTTTGTACTTCAGTAGTAATAGTATTGTGTCCATAGTCATTTTGTATCTTGCAGGACTTAAACAATAGAAGCTCTTAGTAGATGCATATCTGTTTAGAAACTTGTGCTCACAAAAGATATAGGGTTAATCTGACAAATGGCAATGGACAAACTGTAATAAGATTCGGGTTTCGTTGCCAAACCCAAACGATAAATATCTAGCCCAGGGTGTATTTTTTTGTTTGTATTTAAAAGCTTCCTGGAATCGACTAATGGCTTAACTTATGTGGTCTGAGAAAATAATATTTCAGGTACGACCGCGAGGTCATTTTTAACCGCTGTCCGTGGTGTAAATTGTTATCGACACGGTTTGTAAATTCATAATATTAACCGTGTAGGTAAATATAATGGAGACTATGTGTTTTCATTTGACGTTAGTGCGTTTTTAACTTGGTCGAGATTCTTGGTAATGCCTATTAACTCAACACGCACGAAAATGGTTTAATAACCACACATTTGTTTTGTAGCCGTGTTACAATGATATCCATTATTATGATTATTATAATAAAACACTGACTCGACAATTGTTGTTTTTGTAGTTTATACATAAAGCCGTTTGCGGTTAACGGCTTGTTGTATGTAATTATTTTCTAATTTTTATCCTCTGTATTATACCTATTATGATTAGGTATTTTATAAAACACAAGATGGTTTATTTGTCATCGTCTTAACATTCGGAATTTTTGTAGAAGCTTTAAGGACGAGTCTCATGTGTTTTAGTCTACACTTCCTTTATACGTCTTAGTCCCTCAGATAATATTTCTATACTTAGCTTGGATGCTCAGATTCGAGAAGGTATTGTTTTTACACTGAAGTGTTTTATTTATTATATCTAGACCCACGATATTTTTTAATAGCTGCACCGATTTCTTCTTGTAGTAAGTAAAGCAATAGATCATCAAAAACCGTATAAAAATTTTCCTTAAAAAAATGGAGAAGCTTTTAGCTTCGATGCTCCGCCTAAGAATTCCAATAATTTGTGAACTTTTTTACATCCGAAACCGAAAAAAAATAACCGGTTTTTTAACTTTAACTTGTATTATAATTTAGCGAAAACGGTCGTATCGAGTCCAACATTTTATAGAATATTATTTAGATCATTGCCTTTAACCGCTAATAGCCTGAAATTCAAATCATTTCAAAAACCCTGCATCTGATTTAGTGCTACTGAGGTCTAAGATGTAGGTACAGTAAAAAGATAATAGGAAAACATCATTAACCTTTCCTTAGAAGGGATGAAAACTTTATTTTAACGGTTTTATGCGTAGTGTTTAGATTTGAGGGCTGAAAATAAAAAGAGAGTCGATTTTTAAAATTTTGGGCTTCAAAAGTACTTTTAGGGCTCTATAGACTTACTACAAGAAGAAATTATGTGTTTAAAAAAGGGTGTTTTACAGTTTTTACTGCCTACACATACGAACTTCAAAGCGTTTAAACTTAAATTTATATCATCATATTCAGCTATATTACTAGAATATCTGTGCAGACTTTTTCTTTAAGTTGTCATTCAACCAAATTTAATTAAACCGGGTAATAATAATGTACTAATATCATCTTATACAGCTAAGACACGAATAAACAGCAGCATAAAACCTTATTAATTGAGATAAATAAACGCTTAGAAAAATTATTATCGGCTAGCACTTATTAGATTTGCACGGTTTCTTTTTTAAAGGTTAGGGTTCAGGTTCAAGTTATTGTATGAAGTTGTAGTTGTCTGTGCTTTTGTGTTTTTCCTCATGATGAATAACTGATGTTACTTTTTTCGCTTATCTATGAAAATTAGTATTATTCGATGAAATGACCTCGTACATTTTTTTCCTAGGTATACTACTACAGTGTTCACAAATGATATGAGCAATAAATTGTAATAACATTTCCGACATAGCGTGAAAAATAAAATAATAAAAACAACTCTATACATGTCAAAAATGTATACGGTAAAATAATTGTGATGGCTGTAATGTAAATTGCAAAGTACATCTATACACTAGTAGATGATAAAATTGATAAACGTCAAGTAATATTTTCTGATCATAAAAAATAATATTAGGTTCATTTTAAAAAATATTTTTATTGAAAATAATAATTAACAAATTATAAAATATATATGACACCATTGGGTTTACAACTTACAATAATTATGAATTTTATATGTAAATAAAAATATCTTAAACATTGGTACAATAATAATTTAACACTCTTCTTGTTGACTTGCATAAGTAACCATGCACTGTCAGATCAATAACTTATTTAGCAATTCAAAAATATTCATGTCAAAATACAAGAATAATTAAAATATAATTTGTATATGTATATAAATATAAAAAAAATTAACTATAGTTTCGGCCAATTTCTGGAGGGAAACGGTTATGAGTAATATCAGATAAAAGTGTCAATTGCATAACATAATATATGAACAAGGTATATGCAAAATCAGTCTGCTGCCTAAATGTTGTTTTTAAACACACAATTGTCACATTAAAATTAAAATATAATAATAATATTAATTATTTATGTTATATACAGGTATACATAAAAAAATTTCAATATTGTTATCCAAAAATAAATAAATAAAAAAATTCAACTATTGGTTTTTTGGTTTGTCACTAAAACAAAGTGGTCGTAAAAGAACCAACTGATAACTACAATTTTCCCTTTTAGAAAATTCAATAAAATTATTGATAAATACAAAAAGTTAAAATATGATAATAGCAGAAAATATCGATGGGAATACATATTATAAACTTTAGGTTGTTAATTTGATAATTTTTATATGGCCTTTGTATTCATTAACTACTAACATATTAGCAAAATATATAACGTAAAAATCTATGTTACAGGCACATTTTCGAATGTACTTTAGAAAATATACTAAATGGTATTTAACTACTACTCTATACAACAAACTTAAAGGTAAGTATAAGCTATGTGTGTCGTTCACAAATATTTTTAAGTACATTAAAGGTTAAGGTTTTTTTAATGTGATAAAGAAGTTAAACAAACATTGTAGGACAAAATTAAAAAAAAAAAAAAAACATTACAGTTAAATGGCCTATTGGATTTTGGCAAATAGTATTAATATATATATAATTTTTTATTGCTACTTTTGATTGGAATTCAAATGTTAATATTATTTTGAGAGAATAAAAAGATGGAAATTACTAACTAACCAAAACGCTACTAATCGTCATTGGGGATTAAACATTATAATTAAGAAACTAGCTGCCTATCATTAATTGCCACAAACGTATCATAGTATTAGCTTCGATTCATATTTTTTATCACATTTAGTAGGTGAGAAGATTAATACAAAAACAATAAGGAATGATTTAAAAAAATAATACTTGCATAATATTATAGAAAAACATGACAATTTGAAAGTAAAGACTAGAGCATCTCAAAAGTAAAGTTAATAATACCATTTATATAGTACCAATAAAAAATAATAATGATAGATGAATCCATCGAAAACATAAAAATAAAACATTTAAATCACATACAAGTCCTTGGAATGGAATTATAATGGAATGCTTCCTCAAAAATACCTTTACATTAAAGATAATGGATGACTGTTCACAAAGAAAATAAATAATAAATTACAACCGCAAAAAAAACCCGAATGGTTTATTAAGTACTGTTTGATTATGTTTTAATGTGTGAAAATACTGATTTTCCATACACATATCACACCCGAGTCACAAGTTCCATGATTTTTTTCATTTCTTTTTCTATTTGTATGCGTTTTTCAATCTCTACTTCTAATTTAACTGACAATTTGTCTACAAGATGGTTTTGCTGTTGAACTGTAGATTCCAACTGTTTGACCTAAAAAATACAAATTGTTAGATATTGAAAATGTAATTATTAAGTAAAATTACTTTTTCGTTTAGCACAGCTATCAGACTTCGCTCTACCGATGGTGTGGCCGGATTGGGTTCTGCTGGAGCCAACGTGATTGGACTGGACGGCGTGCTGACTGTGACTGGTTCTGGTGTCGTTAAAGGTGGCACATATCCAGGAGGTTTAAAAACCACACCACCTATACCGACAGCAGTTAAACCAGTCTTGGGTGTGACCAAAGTGGTGTCTGAACTTTCGGATGTTATTGTAGTTGTGGATGGATTAATCATTACTCTTGTTCGAGATCCTCCTGATTTTTAATATTTATTAGAAACGGTCAAATTAATGTTAAATAAATTCAATTGACTTTCTATAGACAAACCTATCACGGAATTAGTACTCGAAGATTTTTTTGCCTGATTCATTTTTAGCTCTTGAACCCACGGAGCTTTTTCTTTTTCTACACCAGGCATGCCGTTTACGGGCAGTGGGTCCAATGATGGATCATCTTCACTAGGAAGACTAAAAGCAGCAGACGGCGGTCTTCTTCGAGGTGCTTTTGCACGAGACGCAGTTGGATGACTAAGCATGGCCGTTCTTTCTATCTGATCAAAATCAGGACTTTTAGATTCACCGCCACTGTTCTCGTGCTAAAAAAAAAAAAAAAAAAGGAGTGTTAACAATTTAGCTAATAAAGCATTATATTTAAATGTAAGTTACATTTGAGATAACTAAAGAAGAGGGAGATTCCGGTACAGATGCCGATGAAACACTGTATGACGATCTGCTCATACAACTGCCATCTGGCGTATCCGCTGTTTTTTTCATCGAGCCAACAGATTCTGAGCGCTTAACGGCTATAGACCCATACTGTTTATTTTCATTGTGATCAGTTGCAGTTTGTTTTAATTTGTCTGAATTTTGTTCGGCACTCAACATAGATTTTATGCCACTTATGGTTTTAGAAATTGAAGATGTTGATGAACTTTTAGCGGTAGGTGGTTTTTTGGAAGTCGGAGGTGGAGGCGGCAATGCTGGTTTTTTGTTGACAATAGGAGCCAATGTTTTTTCCATTTGACTTTGCATTAACTTTCGAAGAGATGCCGTAGTACCGCTTCGCGGACTACTGGATGATTTTTCCAATTTACTAGACACCTGTTATGAGTGAAATAAAAATTACCAATACACCCGATTTTTATGTTAAAAAAATATATCCTGTACTTACTTCATCGTGATTTACAATTTGCACAAAGTTATCTGGAAAAACACCAACTTTGCCTTTTAACTCTCCTTTCCACCAGCCTTTGTCTTCCACATCCCGTGATATGATTGTGATTAAATCTCCTTCAGCCAATGTTAATTCATCACTATTAACAGCTTCATAAGGAAACAAAGCAACACAAACTTCTTTAGCTAAAAGAAAACCAAATCAACTTTTTAGATTATTATTTACCTAGAAATACTATAAACATAATAACTAAACAATTGGCTCCAAAAAATGTAATTAACAATTTTTTTAACATTCAAAGAATTTAATTTAAAAGATATATTATTGATCAGGAAATAATCATAGGGATACATTTTTTAAAGTTTTTAAGTACAAAATTAACTTTATAGACATTCACAGATGTATAAGTTAAGTTGTTAGCTTTTAAACCAAATGAAACTTACATGTAAATATATTAGAAAATCTCTTCTTAACTAAGTTGATCATTATTAAGAAAATTGATTCAACGCAAAAAATAAATAAGTACTTTAGTTAAATAATAGTACTTTAGTTAAATAATAACACTTTATCTTTATGTTTCAAAAAATACGCATATTTCTTCTAAAAAAATACTATTGGCAAATGAATTGACAACTGAGTGACTGCATTGTATTAATGATACTACACAATATTAACATTCCATTAGTCATTATTATTACAGTATACTAGTTATTTGCCAGTTTATTAGTACAGACTTGGCCTGTCTTATCTCTCTATAACTGGCAGAAGTGTTGTTTAAGTGCATTAGATAAACAAACTATTATGGTAAAATAATTATAGGACATAAAAACATGTTTAAAATTTGATTGGTTATTTTTCATACCCAAGGTAAATATAGTGCTACAGATCTTAACAGGTTTTTATACCATTTTATGACTGGTTTTCTTCTCATTGAGCAATCATTTTTTACTTGGGAGGGGATTTTCTATATTGTTTAGTTTATTTCACTTATTAATTGGTAATGGCAAAGCTTGATTTACCTGGTTTTGGAGGTAAATTGGGAACATTCATTAATTCAACATTTACTAATTCACTGTTCTCTGTACTTTTTACTGGTTCCAGTGGCTTTTCTACAGTAAAAAAAAAAAAAATAAACAAAAATTAGTTAAAATCAAACGACATTTTTAAGATAACATTAGAACAAAATGTTCATTTATTTGGCGTCTTATTGTTTTAAGTATTACTTACAGTAAGTAGACTGTGATTGTCTCCCACTTAAAAATGTACCCACGTATAGAATATACAGTTTTCACCATTTACCCTTATGACTTCTCAAGTAACTATAGTTAACTATAATTGGTTGATCGGGTCATGATTTTGTTGTAAAAGGGGTCATGGTTAGGTCTGACTAGTTTATAAAAAAATAGTTAATGCTGACTAAACATTATCTTGGTGGAGATGTCTCCACTCTCCATCTTAATATTTTTCAAGGTCCGTTAAAAAATATATGAAAAGTCAAGCTAACAAGATATGGTGTATTAAATATTTGCAAAAATACCTTTCTTAATACTATCTTCTTTTTTAATTGATGTTGTCGACGTTTTAGAATCACTTCTTGTAACAATTTTTGAATCGGATATTTCAGTAACATAATTTGAAGGAAAAACACCAGTCTAAAAAAAAAAAAAAAAAACAATCAAACATTTATCAATATTTTTCTCAAATATAACTTATTAATATATTTATATAACTGTTTTGTAATATAAGTGTTATAATAATATATACAACGACTTCAAGTGTTATACATTAAACTATCAATTTAATAATTATAACACAATAATTACACATGGCAAAATTGATTATTTTTTCCTACTAAATGTTATTAATAATTTATAGGTACGCATAAGACAATTTTAATAAGCAGAATGTAAAAGGTTTATTTTTATGTAACACACGAGATTGTAATTAAGACTTATTGACACAATCTAACAGAAATCAAAAATTCTTAATTATAAACTAATTGAGCTTAATGGTGGTGTGTATATATATGGACATATGTATAAGAAACACTATTAATACAACACAAGGCAAGTTGCTCAACAATCATAATTTTAATAGCCGCTTAATTGACAACAGTACAAAAAAAAAAAAAATGGTACATCTTCATGTTAAATTAAGAAACACCATTTTTTCTGAAATATTATCATTGATGGTATGTAGATCACTTTAAAGAATTAGCATGAAAAATAAATTTTATTTGGCTTTTAACTGTTGTTTAATCTTTACCTACTTGATTGAAAATGATATAATTACAAATCATTCATAGGTTTTTTGTTATCAACAATACATTTTTCTGGGAATTACAACCCAATATTAAAACAATTAATGAATTTATTTATGTTTAATGAAAGTTTTATAACAAAAGGTTTTTTCTCAGTCTAGCTTACATACAACACAACAAAAAATTGTAGTACATTTTTTCTCTGTAAATTTGAGAATTAAAAGTAATTTTTTACTTCATACATAATATATTTTCATTACAAGTTTAAAGAAAATATAAGTTTAATAATAATAAATGTTGCTTATAAATAAATTCCTTCTATTACCGACTTTAGATTAAAACAGTAATATTATAAACATTTTTACTACTAACACCAAACACATCATTGTTTTTGTTTTATATTTAATGAAATGTACATTTCATTGTAACTCAAGTTACAACAAACTATAGTATAGTTATAAAATTAGTAATGAACATATTAATATTTTTATTTTTTTTATAATCCAGTCATAAGACTATAATTATAAAAATATACATTATCTCTAAGACAGATGCATCATCTAACCATTTATCTTAATTTTATTGACCCACAAATTGTGATATAGAAGCTATGTTGTTATGAATTTGTTTTTAGCAAAAACCATTAAAATTAATAACTCACACAGTAGATATTTATTTTGAAACCAAATGTTGTATATTGACATTGAATAATGTGTTTACTTTACTTAACTGTATGGGTTACAACCATGGGCATTAAAATATAGTAATGCATTTTAGTAATTTATAAATTGTTTGGAGTCCGTAAAATATATTATATTTTATTGCTGACGTGTAGGAACAACTCATTTTGTTTCAGCAAAAAAAAAAAACTTGTGAGCTGGTGTTTATTTAAAATTGTGTGTGACTACAATATATAATAAAAACATTAAGAATGAGCTGTTTTTCCTAGGTAAATACATAATAAATAACACAAGTGTTATGTAGTATGCTTGTTGTAATGCATCCAAAACTAGAATTTTAGATAGGGATCTTATGAATATTAATGTAAAAATTGAGATGTTAGTAATACAAGAATATAATAAGTCATTGATTAAATATGTATATAATCCATGGGCTTGCTGAAGAAAAACAGCAACCGTTATGATTTCAATATCGTATATCATTGTCAAAAAATGTCAATACATTTTTAATCATTAATTTAGATAACACACCATGAATTCAATTTTCCAGATACTTCCATTTCCTGATACATGCTTAGCACTGTTAAAAATGATGGTATCCTGCTCTCATAACTATTAAATAAAATGATACCTCTCTATAACAATCATTTTGGGGAATAAAAACCACTACCAGATACCAAGAGCATGTTTTCTTTTAAAAGTAGTCAGAACATAACTTTTGTAAAACATTATCATAACTAAATACCCAATACTCAACTAGATTTGAACCTATACAATTAGCTTTACTATTACTGATAAGCAGTTACACTTTATTAATTACTCACTTGATTTTTTAGTTGTCCTTTCCACCACCCTTCTTCGACTTCTCCAAAAACTTCTATCACATCGTCAATATTCAATTCCAACTCGTCTCGGTTGGCCGGTTTGTAGCTAAACAGCACTTTGCATTTTCTAGGGTTTTCTATAAAGATATAATAGATATTCAATTTAATACATTCGCAATCTACAACATTTCAACAGCTTACTTTTTCTCAGCACTACACCACTAGACGTGTGCACAATCTAAACAACAGACAGCGTTAACATTTTTGTTTATATGTTCAACATTTTTTAGTATTACCTTAACATAGTTGTCGGGGAACATTCCTTTCTTGCCGTCTTTGAAGCCTTCCATCCATCCGTCGGGCATGGGTTTTACATCGGTTACTACGTCGCCTTTCTTCAACGTCAACTCGTCCGGCTCTTGAGCCGTATAGTCGAACTGTACCACAGCCTCTAAACCCACAACAAATAAAAGACACGTTTCAGCTAGTGTGTTATGGTTAAAAAACAAAAACGGTGCAGAGTCGTATGGCTTCCAAAGGTCTCTGGACCCAAGGTATTACATAACCGAGGTTTACCCACTCGGTAATGAATAGATTTTTTTACTATTAGGTAGGTACCGCAGATTAGATAAAACCAATTATCTAATCTACGCTATTGCCATGGAAATTGTAATAGGTATATACTTACCCATATTTCGGTGGGTCGCGACAGTCGACTGTGCTGTTCATTTGTCGCCGTCGTACATGGGATAAAGCGGACCGGGTCGTCCGTGCCCGCGTTCGCCACTGTCCACCGGCGCTATAACGTCGACGTCGACGTCGGTGTCGATGAGATCATTACCGCAAATATAATAGTAACGAATAGAAATAATAATAATAAATAAATAAAAAATTAGAAAAAAAAAAATATCGGTGTTATGATAACAACGCGACGGCGACGAACACTGGACGAGCGTGACCGACTAACGCGATTGTGTGGCACGAGAAAATAATAATTACAAACGTCGAGCAAACAAGTGTGATACAGTAAATGTGGAAGACGTTTTTTTTTTTTTTTTTATCTGATAATATATTTCAATACCTGTTGGTTAGAATAATAATTATTATTATGACAAACGTCGGCAACGAGCCGGGTTTGTCAGTGTTGGATTAAAATAAATAATTTTCGTGTAGGTACTATAATAGAATAGTAACCAATAGATCAGAAATCGCCACAACAATCGACGGTTACTCGACGGTAGGTAGGCATTACAACACGGCAACCGTCAGCCACCAGGTACAATAATATCAGCCGTCGTTCGGTTGATTGTGTTTTCGACGTTTTTCGGTTGGTGGCATTGGTTCGGGCACGTTCGCCGTGAGATTTTCGTTTCAAAGTGGTGACGACGACGGTCACGATTGCGCGCGGTGGGACTGTATAGTGCGAGTGAGATCGTCTCCTGTGTGTGTGTGTGTGTTTAGTAATAGTATTTTAGCTGTTGAGTAGAATATAATAATGTTATGTTCAACGGTGGTACCAGGTTCGTGGTTAAAAGAAAGACGAGACGACTATAATAATATTGTATTATGAGTCACGAGCGCCGGCCGCCCCGTTTACTTTTACCGTGTAGCCACGACAAGGACGACGTCGATTTCGCCGTAGCATAATAAAATATGTAAAATAACTGTAAAACGTTTATCTTGTACTTGAGGGCGGCGTACGGGTTGTCGTGTATTTGTTTTGCGAAAATCAAGTTCACGCACAGATTTACCGCGCCATCTAGACCAATATTATTAAAAGCTTATACAAAAAGCTGGAACCTGTACAGTGACGACTATACTGGCCTGCCATAGTGAAAGTCAATATTATTATCTACAAAAAAAAAATATATATATAATTGTTGCGAAGAAAGGTTTTTGAATAACGCCGCTTATTAGTTATCATTTTAATTCATTAATATTTTGACCATAAATTGTTGTATTTTACAACCCAAATCTTTCTGATACGATTGATTTTTGCCAAATCAATTATTCAATCTACCATGTTTGACGAACTAAAGTAGCTACTACTATAATTATCGTGATAAACACAGGCTATTAAAATAACAATTAAAAAAAACAGTATCTACTAAACATACATTTTTTCTTTTTTAAACAAATTATAATTACAAAATAATTGACATAATATTTCAAGCATTTATGTAATTCATTTATACGAAAATCAATTATTTTATACAATATAATATTTTAATAATCGATTATTAACATGCAGTTACTGCATGGTCGACTTGTCTTGGGTTACTACATAAATACCCTAATTAATTTATCAAACATTTAAACAGAAACTACAAAACATAATTTAGGTAGGTTTACTGCGTTTTCTTTTACATTATGATATTACTGAACATTTGTCCAGCATTTGGCTTCCTATAGTCTGCAAAGGGCTTAGATTTTTAAAATTCAAAATAAAAACGTCGCAATAAGAGTTTGAATATGACCCTTTTAAAAACTTTTTGACCAGTTTTCTTTTTGTGTTTAATCAAATAAGTTAGTTGATAAATTGTCTAACAAGGAAGCCACAACTTGACCTAAATGAGTTACGTAAAAGGAGACATTTTTCTATTTCTGTTATTTAATCACAAAATCCGTCTTGCATATTTGTTTGTTATTGTAAAATTTGCTCATACAAGACCATTCAGGTTCCTGGTCGATTATTGTTTAGACACCAAAAACTTGTACAGGGACTGTAGAAATAATACGAGAAGTATGTCCAGCGAAGAAAATATCTTCGAAAATTAAATTAAAAATAATAATATTCTAAATATTCTAATAAATTATAAATGTTTATAAGTTTCTGTTAAATTCAGTACGATTTATATACAAACGCTGATCAGTAACATTTAGAGTCTTGATTTATGAAAGATATTAGTCGAATTTTTCTTTGTAACTCTTATTGAGCATACTTAATTTAAAATACTTAATAGTTTTGAAATTTAATGGTTCTATGAATTTTTTAATAGTATTGCAATACTTCTTTAGTAGCATAGAAAAGTTTGTTAATTTTTCCCCGTTAATCTCGTATTTTCGTGCGGTAAAAACATTGTTTTGATAATTCAATCTTAATTTTCCCAAATAAGACCGATATGTGTTGAATGTTTTACTTACAAAATGTCCGAAAATGTCTCTAGTTACATTGTTTTTTAAACTAAAATACATGTTTACGGTTTGGAAAAACGATTTGTTTTCAATGTGCAAAAGTCTGCTAACATCATTCACCGAAGCCAGTGCGATTTTCAAAATGTTTTTGGTTGATTTTCTGACCAGCTTCCAGTTGTCCGAAAACGGTTCTAAATTCAGTTCGATGTTAAACCACTCGTTTTCGACGAAGTAACAGTTGTAAAGCACTAACGATGAAGTTAACATAATCAAAGTGTTTTTGATGAAATCAGTGAACCGGATTATTGAGGAATAATCAGATTTCCATATCACCTGGACTGTTTCAACGTAGTTGGCTAGCGCGTTTGCATATTGTGTTGGGTCGTAGAAATTGTAGTTGGCCAATTGTCCAGGAGGTATAATAGATTTGTAAAATACCATGATTTTCCCGTAAAAAACGTACACGTTGAACTCTTGGTCGAATCTGTAAATGCCGAGTAGCTCGTCCTCGTTTCCGTCTGATATTTTTAAACTTGCCAGCATCTCCAAGACTTCATTTTCGTTGATATTGGCCAAATATGACGGGGCCTCGGACAAAGCGTTCGATGCTAAGATACGGTTTTCAACGCATTTATCTAATAATATATTGGCATCGTCAAAAGTCAAAAGCCCCAGTAATTGATGATATTTTATGATTTTCAGACGGGTTACGGTCAACGTTATAGACATTATCCACAGTGCTTTAGGGGCAGTAGTCCTGGCGATGTACAGCACGGATAACATTCGCCAAGCATATTTGCTGTATGAGTTTATAGTGATCATCAGTTTTCGCACGTCCTCCCGTTCCATGGTCTGTAGGAAATACAACATTTTCATAGTGACGTACCCGTATGTACATTTTAAACCGTTTATTTGTAATTTGAAATCCTCGAGAATCTTTGCTGAATCGTTATTGATCGTTTCGTTTTCAGGAATGGTCTCCAAAGTCAACAATTGACGTAGATCGGCGTCTGAAATTGTCGGCGGTTTACTAACCATAAGCGTTGGGATCCGATTAAACACCTTAATAAACTCTTCTAAAGCTTGAGAATCCTGAACAAATAACATACGGATGGCAATAAAGCATATAATGTTAACAGTGCATTGCATATAAGTGCATTTATGTTTCATTAATATGTTTTACCAATATTTTTGGCTAACCGATGATTACCTTACTTCTAATTGCAATAATCTTTAAATCATTATAAATAATTTTATGTGTTCCAAACATATATGATATTAATGTTAAAGATTGAGTTAAGCCTAATATTTTTTTCAAACTAAACAGCATAGATAATGAGGTTTTCGAATGTAGGATCCCTAATAGAAGTTAGGGTTCGGTCCCTAACTTCAATTGATCATTAAAAATTATTATTTCAAAAATCAATCGGTATTTTATTTACATTTCTTACCTTTTCTGGTACTCCATCGCAGTTCAAAAATGTAGTTTTTAATATTATTGTAAAAATTATTATAAGTAACATAATAAAAGTTGCTTTTGAATCTAACATTATATCTATATAGTAGTCTATAAGTGATAATACAACTTACTTTAAACTGGCGAGTATGGCGTATTTTTTTTTTTTTTTTTGTAGCAATACTTATTGATTAAATATCATGTTGTACATAATTTAACAACAACAGAAAATAATCCATAAGAAGTAGGTAAATATAAGTATTTTTACGGTATAAATATTTATCATGACGTTTAAAGTTGTTAGAAAATATCTGGTTGAACGCAAATTAAAAAAAAAAATACACAATACTTCCACATAACATATCACAAGTTTTTATCGGCTAGTCTAATGTCGTTTTTCACCTTTTACTTAAAAATCCGCAGTAATCTTCTAAAAATATATTTGTAGTGATATTTTCACTTTAGAAAGCTATAACTTGAAATAAAAAATAATATTTCAAAATAATAGCCACAAAAATGTATTATAAATTGTAATACACTTCCGTCTATGGAATATTTTTTAGGTAGTTCATAAAACATTGTTATCACGTGATCTTTTATACTATTTTATTGTTTTAGGGCTAAAAGGTATTATTATTGAATTTAAAAAAAAAACATATTTATTTAACATGTGAAAAACAACCAGTCGGTTTGTCTGTGCAAGCACTGTTTACTTTATGTAAATATTCGATTGTGTACCGGCAAGCTGTTCACTAGTTGCCATTTGAAGGACTGGTTTCGTTTGTGATGCATTGATGTTTAAATTTTAGTACACCCAGGCAAAATGCATTTAAACGATAGCACTTAAGCTCTTTAATGCTTGGCTAGTGCATGCGGATATTGAACATATACAGCGGCTTTGTGTATTGACAATGTTTATTCTGACTACGATTAGGTATAAAAACATAATGAATAGTGCGTTTATGATTGTAAAATATTACTAATATGACCCTGTAATTGTACACGTATTATAAGCAAAATACAAGTTGGTGATTCATCGAGAATATTATTTTGTCGAATGCCTATGATGATTACGCCCAACGCGGTCGATTGAAAAGTTTACATACCTACTCTAACGCGTTAGTTAGCATACTAATACCCACGTAGGCGGTGTTAAATAAATGACTGTAAAAAAAATATATAATAAACGACAAACAAATAACTTTCTTGGATTGCACCTACTTTGTCTGCGTAAATAACGTTATGAACTTCGATTTGTTTATAAAATGTTATTGATTGTTTTACAGTTTTTTTTTTTTTTTACAGAATTTCATCAGCTATAAAATACATAGCAATATTGCCGGAAATCGTCATTATGGCTCTGTAAAATCTTTGAGAAATCTTACATTTTAAGTTTTGTCTTGACAAACATTTGAGAACGTACTTTCCGCTTGTTTGGATTGGAATTAATATATAAGCATGCGTATTATGATAAAGATTGCTACGATTAAGATATCAATTAGATAATTAGATAATAGATAGTGGACTGTGGGGTACCTAATATATTATACTGCCCGATCAGCATTATAATACCACGAATATCTCCACCTCTAATCTTATGGAAATCTTACTATTTGAGAAGATAAAACATCAATAAATTCCCATGGAGTTGTGTGGGATGTTAGAAATTATAATTTCCTATAGGCTCTTTGTCTAGCACCATATTTGATAAAAATATATGAATATACATGAACCCGAAGGAAACTATTATATTAAATGAGTATAATTATAAATCTGTATTTAGGGTTAGGTAATTATGATAAAAATACTTTATACACTCTCACGGCCTATATCAGGCTTCATAGAAAGAATTTATTCAAACTGCACTTATAGATTTTAAAGTAAGCCAAATCGTGGGAGGTTCGTAACAGACCGCCTTTTTAAATATTTTAACATTATAACTACATAACTTTCAATTTAAAATATTTATTCAATATATTTTATAGGTATTTTATATTTACCATTTAAAGAAAAAAGATAAATTCAGATTAGAAAGCTTGTCAAATGATCAACGATATTTAATTCTTTAAATATAGAACAAAATATTTTAATGACAAATATTTTAACCTTAAATCAAAAATCGAATTATAATAAACGCGAATAATTACTTCGTTAATTTTAAAATGTATTTTTCCAAAACAATAATTCGTAATAATTAAAATAATGTAAGAATTATATAGAAAAGAAAACTAAAAACAAACGTAATAGAATATAAGTTTTTGCAAAGTACCTACTTAACATGTCATTAAACTAAATAATTTGATTAAAAAGTCAGCTGATATATAATTTAGCGTAAAAACCGCTCAGTGTTTATCTAATTACCGCTTGAACTAAACATTTTATTTTTAGTTAAGGGTGGATAAGATAAGGGTTAATCATCTGTCTATAATAATTGTTTGTTTAAATTTTTCATACATGGTAATTTGCAATATAAGGCAACTATTTTGAATCTGTCGGTGGTATAAGTATAAAAAAATAATGATAAAAACCATGTTAAGGGGGCTCCATAGTCCATACAGACCACTTTTAAGGAGTTTTGTATAGGCAATATTAAGAAAAAAGTGGTTTTAATAAATTTCGACCATGTAAATTAATTTACCGGTTAATTTGTATAAGCTTCATAGTATTATTTTTAATTTTAATAATTTTGTGTATGAGTAAAAGCCATTTTAGTTAATATAATAGTACACTTTTTGTCCATCGCACAGGCCGAACAGTAATATGAAAACATATTTGAATTTGTCATAAAATTTACTTGAGATTGGCCGAGGTACTTTTTTGATATCAAATTCCTACTACTGTTAAAACACGTTTGAATATTTTTATTAAATTTCAAATTTTAAAATCAAATTTTGGAAAGGGTTAAAATTAAAAATTGAAAAAAGTACCTCGACCGATCTCGGCCAATGATGTGTTTTGACTGAATAAATGGTCTGTATGGAGCCCCCTTAATCGCAAACATGTGCTTATAAATAAACTTCACTTTGTTTTTTGTTTGGTTAGGTTAGGTTAGGTTAGGTTAGTTACCATTGTTACCAATAAGCAATATCGTGTCAACAATAAAATGAAATTAATTATCAGATACTCGTTGACTATTTATTCATTCTCACATAGCAACAACCTAAATATTTACTACGTTAAAAGTTGAATTCTTCTTTTTTTCATTTATAAAAAAAAGTTTGACTGCAGATTTTTGAAAAAATTTTTTATGCAATAGTCCAAAAACAACAGTTGTTTGTTTAATATATATAAATCAAAAAAGTTTCGTAAAATAGCTATTAACTGTAAACACTATACTTGGAGAGTGCAAAAATAGGGGTAGGTAATCATATTTTATGACAGTTCCCTATTACATATAAGGTTTTCAGAACGTCTTAATTAGTTTATACAATACAATTTATTTTAGTTATAAAGACAAGCATAAAACAAAATTAATTAAATATTAAGAGAATTAAGAATTTAAATGAGAAAATATGAATCACAACCATAGTTTACATTTTTGTAAAATATTTAATCTTTAAGCTACTTAAATTGCAAATATTTATAATAATTTAGATATTTTTTTCTAAACATATTTCTATTTTTTAGATAATATTATATAACTTTGTAAGTATTTGTTTTCTTGTACTTATATTTCATAAATTGATTGTAAAATTAGAGTTCAATTGAAATGTATAGTATATTAATTATATTTGTTGAATATCAAATTGTTAATTTAAATATCTTCGCCACTTGTGTTGCGCACACTTAATTCGAAATATTTGATAATTTTGAAATTTAGAGGTCCGATTAGTTTTGTAATATTATTATCACAATACTTTAGTAGTAAAATGGAAAAATCTATTAAATGTGTCATGTTTTTGATGTGGTTTTTTGTAGCGAATATAGTGATATTGTTATTATAATATTTTAATCCTATTTTTTTAGTAAAAATACTATACAGTTTAAATACTTCTTTTGAAAAAATATCGACATTTTCTCTAGTAACGTTTTTTTTTAAAGTCAAATGGGTGTCGCTTTGGAAAAACGAATCGTTTTCCATAGCCAAAAAGTTGCTGACATAATTTACCGAGCCCAGTACATGTTCATAGGATTCACTGACCTGTTCCAATAGGCCAGAAGGCAGTTCCAACTTTCCTTTATTATCAAGCCACACGTTTCTTACGACGGAACAGTAGTGTAGTACTAACATTGAAGTCATCATCATCAATGTGTTTTTAACGAAGTCGGTGAATAGATGTATCATAGAATAATCGGTTTTCCACGTTGTCTGAACTAGCTGGACACAATCGGTTAGCGCGTTCGAAAATTCTATTTGGTAATAATAAGAATACATTGAAAATCGTCCCGGCGGCATGACAAACCTATGATTTTTAACAATCCGTTCGTACAAACCGTACACGTCGAACTCTTGGCTGTATCGATAAATGCCGATCATATTTCCCTCGTTGCCGTCTGATAGTTGCAAGCTCACAAGTATCTCCGTGAGTTCATTAGAAGATATGGACGATATCTCGGACAAAACGTTCGACGTTAAGATATTGTCTTGAACGCATTTCTCCAAGAATCTGCTGTTGGCGTTTGAAGTCTTAAATTTCAATAAATCTTGATCATTTAATCGCTTTCGACTGGCCGCGGTCAACAATGCAGAAATGTTCCACAGCTGTCTAGGTGCAGAAGTTTTGGCGAGGAACAGCACTGACAACATTCTCCATGTGTATTTTCTGTACAAGAGTATCGTTTTCCGGGCACCCAGATTATAGTTGGTTGTCTGTAAGTGATGTAACATTTTCATAGTGACGTATTCGTATGTACATTTTAAACCGTTTATTTTCAAATTAAAATCTCCAGAAATCTTAGACCAATCGTTGTTAACGGTTTTGTTTTCATTTGATGCCGACGCATCTAACAACTGACGTAGGTCGGCATCAGAAATTGGCGGCGGTGTACTAACCATAAGCGTTGGGATCTGATTAAACAAATTGATAAAGTCTTCGTAAACTTGAGAGTCCTGAACAAATAACAAACAAATAACGATAAAACGTGTGTTTAAGTATTAGGACAACAAATGTATCTTTGTTTGTTATTTTTCACCAACAACTGTGAAGACCGTAATGGTAATGAGTTATTTATGTTTGAAATATATGTCATGACTTACGCTTTAGGTCAGAATGAATGAAGTCTAACAGGATTTTACAATAAAACTATTGTGTGAACAAACTATTGTACCGATAGTAGGACAATCTTAATGCTACTAAGTAACATTTTTGAACCACAAAAGTTATTTGTATTGAAAAATAATTATAATTTATTGTAATTTCCCTGTACAATATCCAATCTCAATCTGAACTGCATCTTTACGGGCATAATATGTCTAAGGTGATAACTGTATTTTGTAACGATGAGACCTGTCAGTATTGGCCCTGTACTGACTTAATATTGGTTCAGTAATAAATTAGTAATGTGCCAACGGTTATTGCAATTACTTGATTTCAACTAGAGGTGCAGCTCAGTGGAGATTTTGAGCCAGAGACGGCGGTAGAACGGATGCTCTTGATTTGGACAAACTTGGAGTTGGTGAAGACGTATGCGGACGATGTCTTTTTTATCGCGGAAGAAGAAAAGAGAAAAAGACGGTGGCCAGTCTAGAAACCGGAATTCGTTAGTTAAGACGCTTTAAATGTAGCCGAAAGCAAAGTTAGAGGGATAGAGCCCTCTCTTTTTTGTTTGTAACATATTTGTATTTACTATGTTCCATTTATGTTAGTAACAAATGATACGGATAGAAGGGGAGGGGGGTGGGGGTGAAAGCGTGAAGTGACTCTCTGTAATACCTCACAAAAAAAAAAAAAAAATTAATTACTTGATTTCAAGTGCTGTGTCACTACTAAACATATTTGTAGCCATAACCGGACTGAACAGACAATCAAAATATCGGTAATCGTAATTTGTGTGTATTGCATCTAGTGTGAGTGTTGGCGTTAAGCAGTAATTTTACCTATGTAAAATTTACACATTTTATTACCTTTGCTGATACATCATCACAGTTCAAACATACGTCCCATGTAAATATATAAAGCAGAACAATAATGATCGTTTTCGGTGCGCACATTATGTAGATAATAGTAAAATGTAATTATTACTTATAAAGACTGAATATTTTCTGTAGCAGAACATGTAGTATGGATTACTTCACAATAATTCGAATGTTAGTCTACATTGTGTATCACATATTTTTTTATGATGTATAAAGACGTTCGGAAATATCTGGCACAAGCACATGTTAACAACTAAAAACTGTTTAAAAAAAAAAATGATGTAATACAACAGAAGTAAGTATCGGTTGTATCAATATTAGGTCAACTTTTTAATCGTTATAAACTATATAAATCACTACTCTATAATAAATATAAGGAATTAATTATTATAATTTTATATTTATTATAAATTAATTTCGATAACAGTAATGTACCTAATCGTTAAAGCGACAACATTTTATTGATATTATATTCTGTTCCATTTATTTTCAAAATAATATAGTTTTTTGTGTCTAAAAAAATGTTTAACATTAAAATGTATATTATAAAAAAATACATCACTTAAAATGAATACACAAATGTCTATATAATTTATTTAAATTATAAAAAAAGTTAATTTTTTTTTTTTACTTAAGTGATTCCATACCCAACTCTCTTCCCAAATAAGCGATAAAATTGAAAACTGATAGCTTCAATATAAGAATGTAATGGTAATTATGCGTTTTTTTTGTGTCTGAAGACTGTAAGTAATGAAATCATATTCAAGGAAACGATTCCAAATGAATTGGTAGATACTGAACTTCGTTTAGTAATTTCTTATTGTGCTTAGTTTGGACTGAGTTGGTTTACATGCTTTGGCTTATGGTGTACTTGGTTTGGACTGTTTTATGTGGTTAGGTGATATCGTGAGCCCGGGTACAAAAAAATAAAATAAAAACACATCATTATAAAAACAATACTTTCCAAGTGGTACAATTTTTTTTTGTAATTCATTTAATAAGTTTTCTAAGATCCTTATCCATTTCTTTTACTCTGTATTCTATCCTTAATTCCAATGCTAAACCTCCTATCCTGCTCATTATTTCATTTATAACTAAGGCTAGTTTTTTAATTTATTATTTTAATAAATTATTTATTTATACCTAAGTATTGTTGTATCTCTGTTATTTTATATTCTAACCTATTTTTATTTGTTTTAGTTTCAGAGATAAATTGTGTATGCAAAATCCTAATAAAACTTTTGTTGGCTTAATAAAATACCTTCCAGGTATGACTTATGATCTTTAGAGATTTGTTACATGATGAAATCGGGTCAGCGTTTTAGGATATATAGTGTGCACAAAATATAAAACATTTAAATTACATCTAACATCATTGAAAAACAGTATTTTCTCATCAAGTAATTTTCAAATCAATATACCTTCTCAGCTTCGCATTAAAGTAAAAATATTATAACGTGTAAGAAAAATTAAAATAAAGTATTAAAAAAAACATACTACAATTTAACAGAAACCACATAATCTGTAGGTATTTTGAGTTCTACACAACTGTAATGTGATGCTATATTTTGTAATATTAATTGACTAGAAGATAATATGACATTAAAGGAGACTTGTTAACAATTATCCAAATGCTTATATAGTGTTTTACAGGAGTTAAAAGTGAAGGCTTGCTTAGGTATTGCAAGACACATTTCTAGAGATTGAAAGAACATTCAAGAACACATAAGATGTCAAATGTATTAAACGTTCTTAAGCTTTCTTAAATTTGTATTTTAAAACCCAAAATTGAGCTAATATATATTTATAAAATTTCGAAAACTAAATAAATATAAATGTTTATTGTACGTAATACTATTATTTGGTATTACACAGTTGTAGTGAATTCATAACATACGTCTAACAAAACATATTTTTTAATACAGTACAAAAATTGAATCTTTGTTTTTCAAAAATAACGTAACATAAATAAAAGGCACGCAATAATACAATGTTTAACAAGAAAAAAAAAAGACTAGTGGCTTGCTATTTATAACAAAAATGTAAAATGTACAATTGCTCAATACCCAAAAAGGTATCAGTACCATATAGAATTACCATTGGCGAATTGTGTGTCCAATGGCGATTTAGCGTATAATACGAATTGATAATTATAACTAACAATAAATCCGCGCGAGTAAAAACGTATGTACAATTGTTACTTATTCGTTGCATCGTTCTTTTCTATTATAATAATAATTAAGCGATCATTAAAAATAGTTACCGCTAACAATATTGCGCGACCATAAACGGTTTATTATTTTGCAATTTTTTTTTTTAACGTATTATCTTGTACAATAATGATAAAATAATAATGGAACAGGTCGTGGTCGATTTCAACAAATTGTTCATATTAATAAAAAAAAAAAAACATTATATTTTTACAGTCGTTCGCCGCTAATGCAAGTGGTGATGTTGTAGTAAGCGTTGTCCGGGAACCGGTCGAGCTGAATGTAATCCGTTTCGGTGACCAACAGCTTGTCGAGCAGGTCGAGCAGCTCGCGGAAGTCGGGCCGCTCGTCCGCGCACTTGTCCCAGCAGTAGAACATGATGTTGTACACTTCGCGTCGGCAATGCTGAGGCTTTTCAAGCCGGTAACCGTCCCGGATGCGTTTCATCACGTCGGCCGCGGCCATGCCGGGGTAAGGCGTCGAGCCCAGCGTCACTATTTCCCACATGAGCACGCCGAATGACCAAACGTCCGACTTGGCCGAGTACATGTTGTCGAAAAGAGATTCGGGCGCCATCCACCGGATGGGCAAACGGCCCTCAGACTTGCGCTCGTACACCCGACTGGACGCCACGTCCCGGGCGAACCCGAAGTCCGAAATCTTGCACAGCCTGTCGTCGGTGACCAGTATGTTCCTGGCGGCCAAGTCGCGGTGGATGATCTGCGCAAAACAATAAATCAAACATTTTAGTGCTACAACAATCGTTAAGTCCACCGGCGGCAATCGCTCGGCTGACAATGAACTTCAGACGACCGGTTGTGTGGTCAACGCCATTAATTAAGAACCACAAAGTCAGGCAATACAAAAAATAATCCGACATTGTGTAAAAATAAACAGCTGTTGTAATTAGGGATAGTCCATTAGGAACATTAGTCCATTACTAGGAAAGATAACATATTAGTATGAAGCATTAAAGTAGAGGTTTTTAACCGATTTAAAAAAAAAAAAACGGAAATCTGGCATCTGGGATTTACTTAGTGTTTTACTCGGACGTGCGTTTTAAATTATAGCACTATAGAACGACCAAAAGAAAAAATCTAGTAATTAGAGTTGATGAAAATGATGCACGAAAAAATATGCATTGCTAACTATAGAAAGAATTTACTAACGAGAGTTCAAAATATTATATTACATCCTTTTATGAAGGCCACCTAATGCGTAACGGACTTTCCACTCGTAGCAGTATGTTATTTTGTTGTGTACATAATTGTAATGTACATTTTTGTTTAGTGTACTCGAAATAGTACACACGTGAATACTTCAAAATAACAATTCAAGTCAAGAGCAATAGGAAATTACTTAAAATGATTATACAGCTCAAGAACGGCAAAATGGACTATAAACAGTTTTAGGAAATCTATTAGAATTCAAGAGTATCCAAGATACTTACATAGGTATTATTTATGATAACTATTTCATTCTCTATAACACTTAAAGGCACATGGCCGTGGTACCTACTCTTATTAATGGATTCTAGGTGCGAACGACCTAGTTGGCAGTTATACGTCATATTTTGTATTAAATATATATACATATACATTTAATACAAGAATGAAATGTGGTCTATTGAAAAAATAAAAAAGATCTGCAATGTGTCCTGGACAGAATTGAACGCGAATAAAACATTTTAGCGTGGTCTATATTTTCATCGTGTTTTTATTAATTTTCTTTTATTAATCGCTCCGAACGCATGTTTTCCGGTTTTCGACCTGCCGTTTTTGTTACGCTTCTAAATTAAAAACGCATTTAAGGTGTATCGGTTTCTCAAACACACCAGATAGTGGGACCATCAGCCTTAGCGGTGTTCGGGACGTTTGCTGCAATGTCGGACATTGCCCTCGCTATTCAATGATTCCGCACAAAAATAAAAAAAAAAAGAAAATAAACGCATTGCGGACACACGGTCGGTGATAATAACGCTCAGTTCGGTTTAAACCAAAATAATAATAATAAAAAAAAAGGATTTTCCCTAAAAAAAACACGGTTAAACGGACACACGCCGTCAATCGACACGTCTCGTTCAGTTTAAATTTTTTTTATTTAAGCTCGTGCAAGGAATACAATAATTCTGATCACGATCCATCGCCTACGGGCCTACTCCCTCGCATGGCTAAAATTTTAATAATAAATAATACTGTTGATGATAATACATTATATAATTACCGCGGGAACTGAATAGGGCCACTGACCTTGCGGTGTAATTCTCGACGAGGAAGTCTCTCCATAGTCGGTCGGTTCCCCGTGCCTATTGTGCACCCTATTTATTTTTTATTTTTGTCTTGTCGACCGACCGTGGTAATTATTATTACTTGAATTCCACAACGGCCGCCATTTAAAATCCCGAAGCATTGTCAGTAACGAAAAAACAGAAATAGACGAACAATTAAGGGCATCGCTCTCTTCGACTAGGTGGTCTTACTCTTTGGACGAGAGGTAAAACGTTTATTTCTAGTTGACTGTCTTCGGCAGTTGTTTAGTGGGTCGAGTGCATCGGACACCAGGATCTTTAACGCGATAAATAAACCTCGTGGTCAACTGTACCTTACCCAAAGACATTGCGAAGTTAGGATATTATAATATACCAGTATTGGGTATCGTGGAAAAATCTCCTTGGTATTTTATCTATGAACAAAATTAACCGAATAGATTTCAACGAGGACTGAATTCCATAGTGGCGGTAAAAGGAAATATTAAAACGTTGATTCCTTGGCAATGGATAAAAACAAACGCATTTTTGATGGTAAATGCGGATAAAGATATCAACGGGACACTGATGAATTTGTGTTGTGAAGAAAATAAAGTTAATTATCGAAGTCGACGTCTCGTAATAAGTTCAATGTACCATACCCCTTTCGAAGACAAGAAGTCCATTCCTTTGGCGATCTGATAGCAGAACATAATGAGCTCGTGCGACGTCAACGAACTCGACCCGTGGGTGTTCGTGTAGTAAGTGACACCGCGAGAGTTTCTCAGAACGCTTTGCAGTTTGCCGAGTTTCGCGTACTCCATGACAACGAACAACGGGTCTGTGAACACAAAGTTGAACGTCAGCATTGCAATAAGCGCAGAGCTATCGAATAAACCTAACCTCTCTCGGTACAACATCCCAACAGCTTGACGACGTGCGGGTTTGGCTCCAGGGACTTCATGACTTGCAGCTCTTGCACCAGGTCCAGTCTTTCGCGTTCGCCCGCGTTGTCCTTGAGCGTTTTGACCGCGACGGTCATGTTGCCCTTGAACCCTGAAAATGATCGAAAGGTCAAAGCTAGCAAAATTCTAGTACCGTTTCGGAGCTCTGCAGGAACAGCCGCCGAATAACACCGATGTTACTTACCGACAATGTTGTACGCTTCGCATTTCCACACTTGGCCGAAACTGCCCTCGCCCAAAATCGAGCACACTCTTATGTGGTGCCTAGGAATCTCCCACGGGTCCACGGCGATGGTGTCCTTGAGCGTCGACTCTTTGCCGCTGTATTGGCCGCGCCCCGGATCCGAGCCCCAGCTTTCATACCTGGTGAAAGCCCTGGGTCCGCTCCAGTGGTGCATGACCATCGGATCGTCCGTTCTCGAGCTGTTCATTTTGCCCTGTTTCAACGTCGTGGTCGATATTAATTACAAATAAAGCTACACCGTGTACCGCGGTGATTTGTTCATTTTGTTTTACTTACGATAGAGTTGACTTTTTTCGACTTGACTTTGGTGGTGAACAATCTTTTCCGGAACATACAAGCCACCACGCCGGCCGCCGTCAGGAAAATGGCGGCCACCACAATGGGCACGAGTGCGAGGACAAGATGGTTTTGCACAGGTTCCTGGGTGGTGACGGTGGGCGGGCTGACCACGGTTTCCGACACGTTCTTGGCCGTGTCATTTGACTGTTTAACTATCGGTAAGATGGCTTGGGTGGAGGAATCGAATAAAGGCGGCGTAGTGGGTTCTATGGAAATTGACGTTTGAGTCGATACGGACGTTTGCGTTGGCACAGCCGCCTTTGGTAGCGTAGGAACTTTAGGAATCGGCGACGTGGCCACAGTCGGTCTGGCAGGTGTCGTCCTCGAAGGCGCCGGCGGTTTGTTTTGCGGGGGGAAAACCACCGGGAAGCCTCCGTTGATTGGCGGTGGCGGTCGGAACTGTGACGATAAGAAATTGGTCGGATGGTTGTTTGGCTTCTTACCTCCACCGCCGCCAGGTCCTTCGATTTTGGCCCAAACTTGAGTTTTAGACGTCAGATGTCCGTCGTTTATCGTTACGTACAAGTATATGTTTTTCCCTTCCTGTAAATGAAATAGTAAAATACAAATTATTAGTGCAAACGAAAAACGTATCCCAATTTACAGTGTTAATTTTGTACATTTAACGCACAAACGCTTAATAACTAAGACGAGCTGCTCCAAATTCGTACAAGAATTATATTAACGATTGTTGTAGATATGTGAATTTCATCAATTGCCAGAAACCAGGGATATACTCAGTAAAGAGATGTGTTGTGCCACACATTATGAACACATTAACATATATGTATACCTACGTATCTAATTTAGATCTAAGAAGAAGTGTTATAGTAAACTAATTAACTCAGATTAGTAACAATGAATTACTACAAAGCACGTAATTTTTCTTCGGCTAACAATAAATTATAATGTATAATATAACATGAAGTGTTTTTTTATAGATAACATAACATTTTATGGTAACTGTTATCGATGAGTACATTGCAAATGAAATATAATATAATACTTATAAATTATATTGTTTATAGTATATTTTAACTAATATAATAAAATATTTATCTTTTGCTTAAACAATCGAAGAGACAAGAACCAAAAAGTGTACTCCTACAAAGTTTGACAGGAGAGCAAAATGAAAATTGTATTTTAAATGTATTCTTGGTAGGTGTTAATTAGTTTGCTTGAAATCTCTTTCAAAAATTGATGACGAAAACTCGTTTTTAAAAATATTTCACTTCTACTCTATATGTTCTTTTGACCCTATTTTTGTTATTAAACGTACTCACAATCTAACTGCGTTTAAAGATTTATTTCAACTTTATAAGTTAGATTTAATTGTATTGAAGAAAACTAGAAGACATTCCTTTTCTTAGCTTTGTATCAAAACTAATAAAGAAATGTAACCCGTTAACTTATTATTGATAATTAATGCCGTTAAAATTAGTAATAAATAGTTATTAAAAATTGTCATGGCATTAAACATAAATAGAAATAGATGTAAATGGATAACCTACCATTTACAACTTTTATAATTAACTAATATAGTAATATCAAATGTTCAAAATGTATTTAATTAATTTTGTATTAAAATCTAGAGATAATCAAGTCTATAAAACATTTTCAAGTACAAATCTAATTAATCATGTATTTAAGTACCAGCTTAAATAATATTAAATGTCTATTAACTACTCGTACGTTGATAAAACTGATATAAATAATTATAGAACACCTGGTTATACAGAGTGATTAATTAAGGATGACACTAATTTTCTATTAAAATAATTACAATTTAGTAGTTTTTCTTTTTGGAGATAATTTAGTTTTAGGTTTAATATGTAGACTGGTTGACAACCAGTTTTGGATAATTAATTTTTGAACTTATTAAAGTTTAAAAAAAAGGAAAAAAAGTGGATTGCGGTAGAATAATGCGCGAAAATAAAAATAATTGTCTGTCCTAAAAATTAAATTTTAATAAATTTATAAGCAATCATCCAAAGCTGGTTAGCTAATAGACCAATCAAAATGAATGACCAGTCACAGTTAGAAAAATTAAATACATACGTCATCATTTAAGTGTCAAAATTTGTTAGAGCTCTAGAAAACACATTAAATAGTAAATATTATTAGTAATTTTGTAATACTATAAAAATAGCAATCACAAAAATATTTTCAAACAAAAAACTTACAAAGTTATTATAGTTTATTAGCAAAAATTTCTTTTTAAAAAACGAGTGACTTATCTTTAATGTACTACCCTGTATATGGTATTAACTTTAAAATAAAATAACAGCAATAATTATAATAGCATAACAATACTAATGAAATAATGGCTTATTGAGTAATAATAATAATAACTATGATAAATTAAATTCGAATGTACAAATAATAATATAATGACATCCGCAATCAAAATAGTAGCTACTGGGTTTGTAAGGTTTAAATTTATAGGTTTTTCTTTTATGCGCTTTATCGAAATACTTGCACGGTAGATAAAAAGGACGGCTTAATTACACTAATGGAAACGTCAATTAAAACATCGGTTTTTAGAATTCATAGAATAAAAAACAAGGCTTGACGTCGGACACTATAATTTATATACTTTACTAACGCTCCACCTCCACTAGTTTCCAAGCTAGAGATTTCTTGAACTGGTCTCATAGTCGTGAAAAGTTATGGCATATGTATACTTTGACGAGGAGATAAATGTTCGGATTACATATATACAATTTAGAGTTTGAAGTAAGCGATATTTAAAGGTTTTGAATTACATCCCAAGGAAAATAACTGTATAGTTAATCGCATGCATACAGCATGCATAAGTTAAAAAACAAATCATATTATACGATACGATTTGATTCTGTAATCGATGTAATGCAATAAAAAGAATAAGAACTAATCGATTATTTTTAGACGCAAAATCACCATATTAATATGCCTGGAAACCAATTATTTAAAAAAAAAAAAAATATATATATATATATAAATTCAATTTTATTTTTAATCAATATACTTCGACTAAACTCAAACACGTGTCAACGTATTACTTGTAGTTCGATTAATTTAATAGTTAAAAACTGGTTATAGACTATAGACCATCTGACCATGTAAAACATATTAAACAGTTTTTTTTGTTTCGTAAAGAAAAAATATAGTTTTTATACATCTTAAGTTATTTTATACAATTACTCTTTCAAATGATACCATAAACATACACACATTTGTAACATATTTTTAGTTACATTAAGTTTTTTTTTTTTAATTTTTAAATCATGGTTTGTGCAGTCGTGTACAGATTAAATTCGTTGTAAACGGTGTTATTTATAATAATTCAACGATTCTATTTTTTTTAAAGTCGTTAAAAATGTTAATCTACTGTGTTGACGATAAAGAGCAAAAATATTATAATATCTAATACATATTTTATTGGAGGAAATTGTTATAAAATGCACACGGATAATGAACCGGAAATTCTCAAGCAACTATCCATCTATTGTAACCGTTATTGTTATTTTGACTGTAGGATATACAATGTCTACTAGCTAACCATCTTATCGCTATAATGTAATACTTTATACTAATATCGCCGTCATCGGCATCGTTATACATTACCTTGGTAGTCAAAGACGTGTTGGTGGTGACTCTCCCGTTGCTGTCAATGGCGAACGGTAACGGTTCTTCGCTTTCCTGGATGATGTTGAATCCCGTGGAATGTTCCAGACCGTATTGCAGGGTCTCGTTGCCGACGTCCGACACCCGAACCCGGGCCACAACGGTTCCCACGGGAGCCGTCGAGTCCACCACCCAATTGCGATCCACCCATATTGTAGGCGGGCTGCCACCGATCAAATCACCGAGTCCTGCAAACCACAATACCGTCAGTTATGTTTTGTACAAGAGTATTTTAGTATTGCTCGACTGTTAGACAATATGAGGAGACACCCCCTGCGATCCTTTTGGGAGGGGGGGGGGAGTTTAAGCTTTCGAATTTTGACTTTAAATTCAAAGGTCGGTTCGAACCCGGCTGGTAATAAATGACGCGTGAACCGTAACGAAACCGGACTGCTGACGGCGGCCGTAACGTGTCGCACTAAGATTATACGCTTTCATTGTGAACGGGAAAAGATGGCGATTTCAGAGAAAAACGAACGGTGTAAGAAAGAAAATTATGTCGTTTTCAAAAAAAAAAACCCGTGTTATATATTATATTATATATATATATATATATATATATATATATACGGATATATCCGTGTATTGTTCATTAGCCGATGGAAACTCGCGCTCATGTAATCATAATACAGCGTAATATTTTTTTCGTTGGGGGAAAAGGCCGATGGCGTATTTGTTTTTGTTTCTCTGCAAGAGTAATATTATTACAAAAAAAAAAAAAAAAATAATAAATAAAAGACACACGATATATTATTATAACGACGTATATAGTGATTGTCAACACGGATATGTTATTTACCATGCAGATGTTTGATTTTATGTAACAAAATTGTCTTAGCGGTTTCCTGCTGGAGGCGACAGAACGACGACGTTCATATTTCGTATACTCGGTTTCTATGTACAAAAACGTACTCACAATATATCATAATGCTATTTTACTTTCAAACGTTTCGCAAACGTATACAATACACGGTGTCTTGATTTGTTGCCTAGGTACACACATTTTTCGTTGGCAAGATGGATTTTTGTTTTTAAATCAATTTGTTTACACCGCCAGGCGCCAAATTGGATATTTTTGTAGGTTTTATAATACACACGATGACCACTTACGCTTTATCCGAATGCAACATAAACGTTGTATTGTAAATCACGGGTAGGTACAAGTTAGCCAACGTGTGTATAATAAATGAAACATAAGGCAACCAAAATAAAAAGTTGTTGGATAGCGTTACAATTATTAAAAGTATTATAACGGCGATAGGATACGGTTTTATATGCACCAGTACAGCTGTTTGTTATTAGCATAAATCGCATACTGACTACTTAATTATCATTGAACCGGTGGTTATGCTTTCTGATTGGGAAATGTACAGAGCACAATGCTGTAAAAGAGTTACTTTCACATATTACCATTTCACGATTTACTATTGCAGTCTTGTCGGCGGTTGCACACAATTTCTTTATTTCATATCATCTATTGCCTACGAATTTTTAGAATAAAAAAAAAAGAAATATCCAGACGAATAAGATAAGTACACCATACAATAGAACACTTTTCCTCTGTAATAACTATTAATATACACAGTGAATGATTACGTGTGTAGATTATCTGATTCAATATTATTTTGGCTTTTTTTTCCTAAATATTTTAATTTGTTGTATTATGTATGTAGCGAGTGTTTTTTCGATTAATATGGTTTATGTTAAATCATAGATGCTAAGACAGTGTCTTACGTTCAGCTGATTATTTTGTAGACATTTTCATATAAAATATACACGGTTATGTTCAAACAGTAATACCAGAAGAGAATATGAAGAATATAAATTTGTATTTGGAATCCTTTGTGCGAAAAATTACTACAATTACTACAATATGATCTAATTGCTATAATTTTAAAACATCTATATATATTATTACAAATTAGTTTGAATAATACGTTTGGTGAGTTCTCTAGTTTTCAACAGGTTACTTATTTTATAAATTAAACTCAACGAGTTCAACTGGTTTGTTTACAAAATATGAAGGCCGTGCACTACGAATGTCAAGTAAAATGAACAAATTACTACCGCCTATGAAACTTCTAAGCATAACTTTGATTAATAAGGCAATAACAGACACATTATTCAGACATTATATAAGTTTCTTGTCATGGTGTGCTTAACATAGTATAATAATACATGTATTCTACTTATGGCGTGGCGTCTGTGCGTTCAACTAGATAGTAATGGCGTCTAATGGCCGACAGTTAATAATTATTATCGCTGACTGTCAGGAAACATAGTATGGAAAGACTATATGAATCTTCGGCGGCACTAGCAGAAATCATATTACCACTAATCGTCGCGTAACGAAGATGGTTATTTTAAGAGGATTAGCTTGTAGGAATTCTCACAAGTCATAATATGGTATTTTCATATCAAAAGATTAAACTAATACCGACATAGTTTTTAACAAAAAGCTTTAGTTAATCCGTCTCGACCATCAACTCTCCCTTTTGCATTTTTAGGACTCCCAATCGTCGTGGACCTAATCGTTCGAAAGTCTCAAACTCGAGAGTTTCTGCGTTTTCCAGCTTTTTCGCACATACTATGACAATATCTCCCGACTTATATTAAGTGCAATACGACCGCCGTTACCAGTCATGATCTTAACAATAATATGGTTGTTGTCGGTCGACCGGTCCGAACCGTACACGGTATGTGTGTATACTTGCACACAGTAAGAATTACAATTAATTTCTCGTGAATTATTATGGCGTACCATTACGGTTTTCTCTTTGAGCGCAGTCATTGTTTGCACGGTCGATATATCAGTGTCGAACGGTCGATTTTCTTCATATTATCTATAGTTGACGAGGACGGAAAGGATCGTCAAAAGACTCAGTTATAATATGTAACTGTATAGCGCATGATAGCATACCACCAAGAATGATGAATGCGTGCCGTTCTTGTGCGCTCAAGTCATCATCAAGACGTCTGTCATAGAACAACCAGTGGTATTTTTTAAAGTGGCATTTTCTCTAGTTTTTGAGGTTGTCCACATTAGAGTGCAGTCGTCGCTGGGACCTTGCGAGGTCGTTAATCCCGACAGATACGTTTGTGTACTCGCCGGTACTGTTTTTTAATAAAAAAATAATATAATATTATCCTTCGTACGCTCCTACGCACGTGTTATCCTTCAAAAAACGTTTATTCCGCCGAGAAAGCTTAAAGTATTGCTGATAATCCTCCCCACCCCACGTCCACTGACGATTGCTGTAATAAGAAGCACATCAGACTCTACTAAGGTGTTCACCTTGGCATCGTCCTATCTGCCGACGTACGGATTTCATGATAATAGTCACCCGGATACCTTGTTGATAATATTATTATTGATTAGACAATGTATTTTTTTTTTCCCAAATCACGTTTATGTAATTCCTTTGTATTGTGTTGACTAACGAATCGACATACTCGGAGATTTCGGATAACTATTGTTTGTCCGATTATTATATTTGTAATGTTATTACAACCGTTTTCTTTGGCAACAGTTACAGAATTGTTGAGACGTTCAACGGGATTTCGTCGTTGTCATCAGACGACCATAAATCCTTTCGGCTCCAATAGGATGTCATGTTTGTTAAAAGGTTTTTAATAAAAATATTTGTGAATGTATCCAATCTGATGAATATTTTTTTAACGCGTGGATGCATTTCCACCCGTTTTTTTTTTTATTATGTGCGTTTATTCGACCGGCAACAAAATCGGCATTAACCGTATTTCCTGTGTTTTTAATTATTGTTATTAATATTATAAGCAACGTATAATAAAATATGTTCTTGACTGGATTCGGTCCATGATTAAAAAGTGCTTCCAAGTTATTATCCGCTGTAAATTGTATGTAGTGTAATGTTTCAAGTGAGTAATTTCTTGTCCGGTTTTTTATTATTATCATTATCACGAGCTAAACGGGTTGAACGATAAAATAAACTGATTCGAACCGATTTTACAAAGAGAAAGGTTAATCTAGACACTAACATTTATATTTAATGTATTGGTTTCCATTTTGATGGAAAAAAAAGAAGTAGAAAGCTACTTCTTATCAAAACTTGAATATAGTCGTTATTGATTGTTATTTTTAAATCATTATTATCGATATCGTTTAATAATATTTATAACTTTTATTTTTGACCATGAAACGACTTCCAATGCTTTCCAAGGCTGGTTAATACAAATTTCAATAAAAAAAAGACCTGCCAATTTTATACTCAATTCTTCTGATCATGAAATTATTTTTCGTAACTAATAGTAAATATGTTTATTAAGTACAAACTTCCTTATAAATACTTTTGATATAATGTTTAATAATTAAACCTTTTAAGACTTGAGCCATTAATGCAATGTTAGCAATATACTTGCACGTTACGTGTGTGTCCTTCAGGTTCTTGCAATTATAAAATTTAAATAAATATATTTATATGGTTAATTGAAGAAAATAGTCGTTAAACTGCGTAGTAACGGGAAATAGTCGATCTATTAGAGGCCACAACATGTTTATTGTACAATATAATATTTTATACTCAACGATCGATACTCAATCAGCGCATATTATGATATTATTATTGTCGTTTTGATCATTTAGATACTTTCTACGAAGTAATAAAATCCAAAATTATTGAGACAAGAACGTTGCGTTCGGTGTTGTTATTTATTAATAGCGCTTTAAGGCAAACAGAGAAGTTGTTGGAAATCGAACCATTCGAAACGCGCTACTTTATATATATTATAATGGTGTCACATAATTTGATTATTATTTTACTGAGACATTTTGAGCGCCATAGTTTTGGAAAACTAGGTTTATTTGTTTGCAACACAAAATAATTTGCTCTGCGGTATTGCCGAACGGATTGCGTAACGGAATAGCGGGTGGGACGCAAGTGAAATCGTCGGCACAGTGATAAAAAGTGTGGGTTAATATTTGTAGGTTTCGATTTGGGCAAAAGCACAGCGGACCATCGATAATTGCCAACGGTAATAACAAATATTATTATTGTCTAAGAAAAATAGCTCAAGACCGCGTTTACCTGGGCCGGCAAAGAATACAGCAGCAGCGACAATGGTCACCGGTATCCATTTGACCGCAATGGTCGCGGCTGCCGCTGTCCTCATCGCTTTGCCGCGTTGCAATGGTCGCCTGCCGAACTGTGTTTCTTCGGGCACACCATAACGCGCGCGCGCACACACACACGCAGATATTACTATTATTACAATTATTATTATTATTATCACATTCGTCGAAATCACTCCGCAAACACACTTAACACTTTCGGTTCACACCACAAGACGTGGTCTGTGGAAAACAACACCGTACACAACAATAATTGTTGTTACACTCGCAACACACACCAGCGCGCGAAAACGATAAAGTTCATAATAATTGAACAAACGTAAATAGGAAGAGAGCGATATTAACGCGCGCCGTTGTCGGCCATATTGAATGCGACTAAGCAGAAATCTGACCCGTACAGACCAGCGTACGTTCCCCTGTGGAACCGACTAACCGTGAACACCGGAATACCTATTGCGGGCGAGCGCGGCTGCGACGGCGACGACTGCTGCCGCCTGGTAGTACCGACAGAGTTACCTGACCACTTTCTATCCACAAGACGTCTCCCACCATTATGTTTTGCTATCCTACGCCGTCGTGATCTTCGCCGTCGAGGAATTTCGGTCGTACACGGCGATCGCGGTTCGACGATTCAAAGCCAAATACACAATACACAACAACAATATATTATTATAATGTACAGCTACGGTAACGCGTAGAACGGAATACACGCCAAGAGCCGTATAGTTAGTATACTTGTGACTTGTCTATGCGTTTGAGTGTACCGTGGCTCTTTCCTGCGGCACATACTCCTCCAACCCGCGGCCGTTCATTGCAACCGGTCGTCTAAGTTTCCCAGTTACATAACAATAACGTGTACTTACTTTTTGTCATCTTATTGTTATGAACGCGTTAATACGGGAAAAATGAAATAATTTAACAAGTCCACCGCCACGAGTACCGTATTCGGTACTCGTGTGGTTTGTATGCTAGGCTTAAGGTTTTTAAGCATATATTTTTTTCAGAGGCTTTCAGTAACAATATTGGTACTCGCACCCAGGCTTTGGGTTTTGGTACACAGTTTTATGTGGCCCACGTGTACTCACGGCGCTTATGACCGTCACAACAAAATTAGCTCGGCCGTCAACTTTTATTTGTCGAGTTTGCTCGACAGCTATTTGCGAAGAAAAATTCAAAATTACATTTTTTGCTAACTTCTAAGTACTAATATGGTAAATATAGTGTATCGATAAAAATAATCATGGAGTTTTTTTCCAAATGGTTTTATGGGACGCTACACACCCATGTATAAAGGAGTGAATTTTAAAGTATGTACAGGCAATTTTTGACAAAATCTTAATTTAGACCATAAACCGTAGTGTAGACTCATCAACAAACCAATGACTATTCTCTTCAGGTTGTCTTTTTTTATCACTTTAAAATCTATAGAAAAAAGTATACTTTTTTTTACCATAAAAATAGTCTTATGCGAATCAAAACCAGTGTCTTGGAATTGTTGAAAAAAAAAAAAACTTCCACAAAAATGAAGAAAACTTTATTTGCGCCTAAACGTGTTAAAATAATTTGAAAAAATCCATTCATTTTAAGTAATTAAAAAAAAAAAATTAATCCTAAAATATAAGAAATGTATAGAAAAAAATTATAATGCTCAAAAATAGATAATATTCTTTTCTATTTTTCTATGAAAATTTGGTAAATTTATTACAATCAGCCTCTATTACTACTATAAAGAAGTACCATTACAATAATCTCGCAAACTCTGTATTTATACTACAAATTAGGTAGGTAGGTCCTCTTAAGTATGTATAGTAAAACAAAAGAGTTAAATTACTGTTTTCCTAAACTTTTAACTCATAATATTAATGTATTACCACAGTATAAACTATTCTGTGTTATTACTATTTCATCGTCCTCTTTCATTTTATATAACATTACATGAGACAATGTTATTATTTGTTTTAAGCGGATATAAAAAATTATTTGATTTACCTTTATGTAAGGTTCATTGACATTGTCCAGTGTATGTAGATAAGTGATAGTATTTATGTTACTGGTGTCAAAAAATAATCGTCTGTTAAAAGAAGAAAATTGCACTTGGCCTGTGGAATATAATATATATTATAACATACCTCCATAAAAAAGCATTCACAATAAAATTTATGAAATATCCGCTCATAATATTTGAACCATAAAATATATAACTTGTTATAACTGTTAAGATAATAAAATATATAATAGTAATATATACTAAGTATTATTTAGTTGCCGTTTCCAGTTCTCTTAACTAATAACAAAATGCATTTATTCATAATGTTGTTAACAGTATTATTCGCTCCAGAGATCTTGATATTTTTAAATTGTCTAGTTTTGTTGTTTTTAAATTAAAAATATTTTAAGGAAAACATATTTTTTCATTGGACATTTTTAAAGTGTTTTAAATGTCTCGAAAGACACTTAAGTTATGGTATTACTTTCTTTGTTTCAGAGAAAGCTGTTCAATGACCTTGAAAGCAAACATGAAAAATGAAAAGGCAACCAAATGTTCGTATACATTACATAATCTATTTAGAGAAACAGAGAAAGTGTCCTCAAGTTAACCTAAAATAAAAAAGTATGCCACAAAAGAAAATCGCCAGTACATATATAAATACAATATGTAAATATAAACGTGACCAAAATACTTAATAAAGCTTTGCGAATTTTACAACGAATTCACGAATAGTATGTGTAATATATGAATATATTCAAGAAAACAATTATATTATATGTTTAATGTAATATTATGTATATTAAGTAGTACAAATAATGAAATTTTATTTTTATGAAAAAAAAATAATAAGAAAACGCGATAGTATAGCGTTATAACGCCGTGGTGTATGAAGTAATGCAACTACATGTACCTACCTACATACTATAACAAGCGTATAGTCTTACAACAAAAACGGCGTTTTACTATTTAACGTTTACAATGTCAAATGATAAGACCAGTTTATAAATTAAGGAAATTCAATAAATTATTTTTATGTTAAACGGGAGATTTTTTTTATTATAATAAATATATTTATTGTTTTACAGTCTGTCCAGTTCTGGCTTCTCCGTTTTGTTCTAAACCTCTGTCATTCTAGATAGATAAATTCAATTTTACATTTTACATATTTCCTAATTAAAAAAAAAAAATAGAATTGATGTGTTGGGTTTACATAATATTTTGTTTGGTAACCCAGTGTTGACTAAAGAAGTCCAAGTCATAAAAGAAGGATTTTTTTTCTTTTGGCAGCCTGCCTATTCTAAAATAAAACAAAATGCTAGCGACCCATAATCGTATTGTATAAAACAACTAGCAAAAACATTTTCAAAAAATACAAAATTGTTAAACTGATTAAGCTACATGAATGAGAAGAAAACATACATTTCAACCAACAGGGAATATTGTATTTAAAATTGTAGAAAGTGGAAACGAACAGGGTTGATCAAATGTCTATAATAATTTGTTACCATTATTCGTAATCAATAGTATAATTTTTCAGATACTAGTTGATTCATTCACACATAGCAACCTGGAAATTGGATACGGCACGAGTGTAGTTCTTCTTTTGTTTCTGGTCTTTCCATAATAATACAAAAAATTGATATAATTGTGTATGCTATAGCCTATAGCCCCACTAGATCTACATACTTTTAGACATTAAGTTATAAAACTTACCTAAAAAAGTTAAATAAAAGAAAAGTTTCCACTTCTTCTGACAATATTTTCTTGGGTTTTCAGAATATACCAGTACTATCACAATATAATATCAGAGTATTAAACGTAAGAAATATATGACGCAAATTGGGAAATAATTAGACTATTTTTAACACGTTCACTACCGCAGTACTTTTCAGGAAAAGCCAACTCAATTTAATCATATTGTATTATTAAAAACTCTAATTATAGTACATAGTTATCATCAAAATGTAAATAGAATGTGTTTTTTTGGCAAGTTTAAAACGTACGAGCTATCATATAGTCTTAGGTGTCTTAGGCAATAACGCAAACTACGAGTTATCTCGTAGTTGGCAGTCAACATGTTAATAAAGTGTTTATTTTAAATATATATAATTTGAAGAGTATGTACATTATTTAGGTGTTTTTTCGGTTTGGAAAGGGAAGAGCTGAATTTTTAAAAAATATTTAACTCGTTAAAGTACCTTTTAGGTACGATTTCTGATCTATAGACTTGCTACATGAAGAAATCGGCTCAACGGTTTAGCAATAACATGGGTCTATGCGACAAAATAGAAAAAAAATGGAAAATACATTGTAAAAACAATACTTTTTCAACACCACATCGAAACTAAAAGTGATAGTTTCTCCAGACACAAAAACACTATTTTCAAGTCCATTGTACCTTCTCAGCATCTCAGTGACCTCATACGTTTTTAAAAAAAGAGTAATTTAATTTTTTATCACGTATAAACTTGCAGTGGACATAATACCTGTCATATTAGATATATCTGTATAATTCGCTCTAAGTAATTGGGACTGTATGTCTGTATGTAATATATATATATATTTATAACTTTCGTTAGTCGTTCTATTTTAGAGTTTTGTTTGAACACATGCTTATGTGGACTCACACATATTTATACCATACGTCGGGAACTAACATGCTATATTATAATAATTATATTATACATAATATATTTACGTTTAAAACAACCATTGTGCCTATAACATTTTATTTCATAGCTCTTTTTTTTTACCAAAACAGTACGACCCAGTGTAAAATTGATAAAGTGAAAGTTTATATTTAAACATGTATTTCTGCTAATGAACACAATTATAAAAATTAAAATCATTAATCACCAAATATCTAGTCATAATTAATTCTTCAATGTCACGTGCAGATATGTTTAAAACAATCATAACTGTGTGTATATAACAACATCATCCAACGTGTAAGCATTATAGTAGAATAGATACCAAGTCCTATATATTGTAAGTCTTATAAAGCCAAGAATGCTCCTCATAATATTGCATAATGGGTCAACAAACTCTAGGAAAATCATATTATCGGTCGCTGACAGTTGTAGTTATTATGCTGGACAACGAATTCGCTAGGTCATATATAATATAATATAATATAATATATGTGTATTTATTTAAATAAAAAAACGCACAATAGTGTACTTTTTACAGTTAAGACAAATTTGTATGATCATAATTATACTTATTATCCATGTTTCATGCTTCAACAATTACAAAACACAGATTAAAGGTCCATTAAAAACGTTACAAGGCCACTGTCCATTAGATGGAATTATAAAAAAACACATTTGGTTATTCTATTTCATGGAAATCAAAAGTTTATGTCTCAAGTTCATTGACATAAATTATACACGTATTCAGTATTTAAGGTATTTTATTGTTAATATAGCTAATAGGTTTGAAACAGATCCAAGGCTACACATAGTAATAATTGTTGTCTGCATCTTGCGTGAAA